GGATGCCTACAGGACTCAGCAAGGTGCATTGTAGATGCTTAATAGATGAACACGGCCAGAAGAGATCTGACAGGACACAAAGAGGCAGGAGAGCTATGGGACCAGCCAACTGCTAAGCTGTGTCCCAACATCAAGTCCCCTCCACACAGTGCCCCCCGCCCCTGCACCCACTCCAGCAGCACTGCCAAGGTGGAATGCTGTCAATACGGTGGGCCTAGGTGTTAGCAAAGCATTTGAAAAAGGATTTCAATCAAGAATCATTAAGTGTACTAAGAATAAGAGAAACGTCCCCTATTAGTAAATGGTCAAAGGATATGAACAGGCAGTTTTCAGATGAAGAAATTGAAGCTATCTATAGTCACATAAAAATGCTCTAAATCATTATTGATTAGAGTAAAACAACTATGAGGTACTACCTCACACCTATCAGACTGGCTAATATGACAGAAAAGGAAATAATAAATGTTGGAGAGGATGTAGGAAAACTGGGACACTAATGCATTGCTGGTAGAGTTGTGAACTAATCCAACCATCCTGGAGATCAATTTGGAACGATGCCTAAAAGGCAACCAAAGTGTCCATACCCTTTGATCCTGCAATAACACTATGAGACCTGTATCCCAAAGAGGTTAAAAAAAAGGAAAAGGACTTCTATGTACAAAAAATACTTAGCTGCTCTTCTTGTGGTGGCAAAGAACTGGAAATTGAAGGGATGCCTAATAATTGGGGAATGACTGAACAAGTTGCGGTATATGGTATATTGTACTATAAGAAACGACAAGCAGGCATATTTCAGAAAAACCTGGAAAGACTTATACGAACTGATGCAAAGTAAAGTGAGCAGAACCAGAGTACACAGTACTCCAGTACACAGTAACAGCAATATTGTATTACGATCAAATGTGAATGACTTACCCATTCTCAGCCACACAATTCCAGACCTAGACAATGCCAACGGGTTCATGACAAAAAGTGCTATCCACCTCCAGAGAAAAAACTGGTGGAGTCAGAATGCAAATCAAAGCTTATTATTTTTCACTTTTTTTTTCCATTTTGGTCTATTTCTTCTTTCACAACATGACTAACAGAAAAATATTTCACATGATTGCACACACATATAACCTATATCAAATTGCTTGCCATCTTAGGGAGGAGAGAGGCAAGAGGGAAGGGGAAAATTTGGAACTCAAAAATTTTTTTAAACAAATGTTAAAAATTGTCTTTACACGTAATTGGAAAAAATTAAAATATTATTTAAAAAAAGAATAAGAGAAATTCACAACAAAACAACCCTGAAATTTAAGCGTACTAGTATGCTGTTCATAGAACTGTGACTTAGAACAACTGACTACAAGGTCCATATCCTTTGACTCAGAGATTCCACTACTAAGCTTATACTCCAAGGAGGCCATTGAAAAGAAGAAAGTTCCCATATACACCAAAATATTTATAGCAGTCCTTTTTGTGGTAACAAAGAATTTGAAATAAAGTAGATGCCCATCAACTGGGGAATGGCTAAACAAACTGTGGTCCGTGACTGTGATGGAATACCACTGTGCTGTAAGAAATGACATGTGCTCTGGCCTTGGAGTCAGGAGGACTCGAGTTCAAATCCAGCCTCAGACCAGATACTTACTAGCTGTGTGACCCTAGGCAAGTCACTTAATCCCAATAGCCTCACCACAAAGCAAAAAAAAAAAAAAAAAAGACTTGTCAATATGACTAAGATGGAAATATTTTGCATGGCCGCACATGTATAGCCTCTATCAAATTGTTTCCTTCTCAAATGGGGGGAGGTAAGAAGAATCTGAAACTCAAAAAAGTTTTTTAAAGAATGTTAAAAACCATTTTTACATGTAATTGGGGGCAGAATAAAATATTATTATTATTTTTTTTTTTTTTTAGGCAATTGGGTTTAAGTAACTTGCCCAGGGTCACACAGCTAGTGAGTGTCTAGTTTGAGGCCGGATTTGAACTCAGGTCCTCCTGACTTCAGGGCCGGTGCTCTATCCACTGCCCCACCTCGCTGCCCCTAAAATATTAAATTTAAAAGAAAAAAGAAATAATGCATGTGGTGAACACAGAGAAGCCTGGAAAGATCTATACGAACTGATGCAGTGAGCCAGGAGAGCCAAGACAACAACACATACAGCAATCACAGCCACATAAATGGAGAACAACCACAGACAATCAAAAATCACAAAGAACGAGCACAGCCCCCAAGACGAGAGGAGTCCCGCCCCCCCCGCCACACTCCTTCGCGGGGAGGTCCACTGCTGTGGCGTCTTACACATACGTTCAGACCTGTTAGATATATAGCTCAGTTTGGGTGATTTTCTTCCCTCTTTTTTACTTTAAAACACATTATTGGTTGTATGAAATGGCTCTCTGGAAGGGGGCAAGGGAAGGGATAACGCACAAAGGCAAAGATACAACAATGCCTGCCCTCAGAGAACTTACATACTACTATGAGAGACAATAAGGCAAGGAGGAAAGACTGGGGTGGGGCAGGCAACCCACCAAAAAGCACAGAGATGAGAAATGGGAGCACCTCCTAGCCTGTAGGAGGAACAACATGGCGGCCGGTGTGGCTGCAGAGAAGTAGTCATGAATAATCAAGCCACAAAGATAGGCGTGGGCCAAGTTGTGAGCATTTTATTTAATGTCAGAAAGAGGCATTCGTATTTGATCCTAAAGTCATGTGAATTTTGGGTGCAGGACAGAAACACAGTGAGACCTGCCCTTTGTTTTCAGTTTTTTTTTATTCTGAACTTAACAATATAAGAACACAGAAGGTGGAACAGAAGGATGTGAAACAATATATGAAACCATACATCATTACTTCATATAGTTTGCTTTTTTAGAAAAGTATAAGTTCACAAAGTTACTTTCAAATCTGTCCTGATTTGCTGTGTTTCCTTCTGGCTTTCCCTCTGTTCTCCTGTGCATTTTTAAAATGCTTCCTTTTCCTCCTCCTCTTTCTAAAATGTCCATGACTGTTGAAAACTAAAAGTACATAAATAAATAAAAAAATAAGATGGCCATGATTGAATGTGCCACAACTAAAAAAAAATCACAACTCACTCTAACAGTCCATAAACATTTATTAGGCACCTACTACATGCCAAGCACTGTGCTAAGCACTGGGGATACAAAAGTATACAACCCAATGGGTGAGACAACACGCAAACATGTAGAAAGCAAGCTCTCTACAGGAAACAATGAACAGAGGGAAGGCACTGGGATTGAGAAGGGCTGGGGAAGGCGTCCTGCATTAGGTGGATTTTAACTGGCAGTACAGGAAGCCAGGGAGATGAGTGATCAGAGTGGAGGAGGGAGGGCATTCCAGGCCCGGGGGACAGCCAGAGAAAATGCCGGAGAGCTCAGAAGTCTTGCTCATGGAACAACCAGGAACGTGGGGTCACTGGATCAGATCCTCGGCCCTGGTCAGGCCACAGCTGGAATGCCGCATTTTGGGATGGGGTCCACTATTCAAGGAGGTGAGAGATACACTCTGGAAGCATCCAGAGGAATGGGGAAGGGCCAAGTCTATGTGCTTTAAGGCTCAACTGAGGAAACGGCAGTCCCTCTAGAGAAGACGAAGGAAGGCCGGATGACTGTCCTCAAGTATTTGGAGGGCTGTCTCGTGAAAGGCGGCCCTGAGGAGAGAACCAGGAGCAAGCTGGGAGGAGGGGAAGCAGGCTGACAAAGGTCAGTTCAGGCTGGATCTAGGTTAAAAACACAAACAATCCTAACAATGTGGCAGCGAAGGCCGCAGACCTCCCCTCCAGGTACTCCCTCTCACGGAGGGTCTTCAGGCAGGGGGTGCCGACCATCCTGTTGTCCGGGCATAGATGGGAGCAGCTGGCACCAAAGAGCCCTTCTGGCCCAGGGTCCATGCTGCATGAAGGGCCTTGGTTGCGCTAACGTCCTACAGAAAGGTCAGCTATCATGACTCGACACCCGCATGAGGCGAGCTGATGGAGCCGTCAACGGACACGAGGCAAAGGCGCCCTCCAAAAGCTGGTGCCTTCCCTGAGGTGACCCCCATCGGTCCTGCCTGTGCCCAGATGCAGCTGGGGGCGGGGAGGGGCTGCACCCCCAGTGCTCAGCACAGAGCCCGGCACACGCTCGCTGGCTTCTCTGAGGCCCAGGCCACAAGGCCATTCATTCCACATTCCTCCTGTTCTGGGCTGGCACTTTTCTTGCTGCCTGCCATCCCCACGCCCAAGGCCCCACTTTCGAGCCCTTGGCACACAGCTCCCCACCCACCCTGGACTCTTCCCGCAAGCCTCAGTTCACGCGCCACCTCCTGAGGCTTCGGGTGGGGGCCAGGAAACGGACACTGGCCTCCTTTATCCCCTACGTGTCGAATGTCAGCTCTGATAAGGCAGCGACTGTTATTTCCTGTCGAACACATGAACTGTGCGGTAACAAAGCTGGGGACCAACACAACTTAGAGGGAGCACTGGGTCTGGAACCCTGCCCCAGCTGCCTGGTGGGGCTTGGGTTAGTCACCGGGGGCTCCATCTCCCCATCTACAAGAGCAGAGAGCTGGTCCAGAGCACGGCCTGGGCCCCTCTGGGGGTGCCCTGGAGGACCAGCCTCTCAGAACGATGTTCGGAAAGGGATACAATACATGGATGGGGTGACCAAGGAAACCCACTTTACGGGAATGTATCCACACGTCTTCAAGAATGAATTTACGGACCCCCGGTCAAGAACCCCCTGGTCTACACCAGCTTCGGGGCCTGTTAGCTACACATGCTGGGAACCAAGACAGAAGGGAAAAAAAAGGCCAGTCCACAGAACTCACTCAGAACCTATTCATTCTATTTTTTAAAAAAAAAATTTTATTTTTAGTTTATGGAATTAAACAAGCATTTCCATAACACAGCATAATAAAAACAATGATTGCACGTCAAACTGCAAATCTACTATGCACAACGTGTTACTCCTTTCAAATACATAATACAGTTATCGTATACATTCTTTTTTCCTTTTTTTTTCCTTGCCAAAGTTTCTAACAAGTTCCATCATCTGGTTTCCCACACTACAGCAGGTTTGCTTTAGTGCCAGCACAAACAGCTTTCCCCACATCAGGATGCCGCTTCAGGGATCCCTAGATGGCAACCACATCGAATCACAGGAATTTACATGGGGAACGACCTTTAGAGACCGTCTCATCCAAAGGCCTCATTTTGCAGATGAGGAAACTGAGGAAACCTTGTGTTTTAAGACAGAATTGATTTCTCAAGAAAAGAGGAATTAACTAAGGAGAGAAAACTCTGGAGGAAGCCTTGAGGAGAGGATGGATGCCTGTGGGGTCAGGCCCTAACAGAGGAAGCCAAGGGAGAAAGGGCAGGACAGAGCCCCTCAGGCTCCAGTAACGCATGGTAAAATGGAGATAACAGTAACAAGAGAATCCAGCCTGCAAGCCAGATCAGACCAGAAAGTTCACAGCACTATCTCACTGAATCCTCTCCCTCCTCCCTCCCCCTCAGGCTATTGTGAGGGAAGTGTTTGTAAATGGTAAAAAAAACGAAACAAAACAAAAAAAAGACTCTGTAGCCTTTCTAGAGAGAACCAATTCATTATCACAACAGAGTTAATGAAGTTTCCCTCCTCAGGCTGCAGTCTGGCAGCTTCAGGTCAGCAGGAATCATTAACAGCACTGCTATCATCCCTATTCTATAGACAGGGAAACTGAGGCTCAGAAAAGTGGGTGAATGCAGATCAACTACCTCAAACTTCTCCACTTCAGAGGACTGTGACCCAGTGGATCGATGAGGGGGTTGTGTGGTCGAGGTGGACCGGGCCAGGAGGCCGCAGGGAGGATCTGGGAGGTCGGGACAGAAGCCACACAGATCCGCCACCCCACAAACCCCACCCCAGCGGGGTAGAAAACAATGGAACGTTTGGAACAAGCAGACATTTATTTTATGAAAAACTACCAGACGGGCCAAGTACAAAGCGCCCCACTACGGAAGAGACAGAGTGACCACAAGGAGCAGTGCCTGGACGGTGGGTGCCCCACACCTAGAGGCTGGCGCTGAAGGCAGCAGCACCAAGGAGGGCAGCCTCACAGAAAATGAGGAAATCACAACGGCGGGCCAAGGAGGCCTCTTGGTCACCGCAGTTCCACCCGCAGGTGCCAAAGACAGTGCCCACATCCCGCCCCTGCGGCCAGAAGCGGTTTACAGACTCCGGGGCAACAGGCCAGCGGGGCAGGCTTTGTGGCCGGCAGGGGCCTGGCCCCGCTTCGGAGGAAAACAAGAGCCACCCTTCATGTCTCAGTGGGTCGGAGGCCATCACGTAAAGAAAGGTCTTGGGAAACCCCCTAAAAACCTCTTCACGGAACAGTAACAAAAGTCCAAGTGAGACAGGCGCCAACAGTTCCCGAGATCAGCCCATCTCAAGTGAAGAGCCCCTTCCTGGCTCCGGCCTTGGCTTTCTTGGACGTGCCTGCTGGAGGCCCACTCCTCTGGGCCGGAGAGAACCAGTCTGGGAACTTCCTCTTGGAGGCCTCCTGCCCAGGCTGTGGGGAAGAAGAAGGGGAGGGGCACAGAGCGCCTCAGGGCATGCGCATGTACACACACCATGCACCTCACACCACACGCATGCACACATACACCATGCACACACGCCCACGCACACAGGTGCCAGGGGGCAGACAAGGCACTTGCAGAGCTCTGATCTGAGAGCTAAGGGTCTCAAGAGGCACACCAGCAATGTGGACAAAGCAAATCCCCGGGGATCTGCACAGTGCTTTCCCTCTGTCACCCCGCTTGGTCCTCACACACAGAATTACAAAGGGAGCCAAGTGACCTGAAACCATTATCAAAATGTTTTTTAAAAAGTTCACGGATCCCACATTAAGAAGCCCTGCTCAGGCAAAAAAGGCACCCCCGGACAGCCTGAGAGCCTTCCCTCACATAGCTTCTACCACCTGGAACGCAAATGAGGCTGCTCATCGTCCTGCCGACCGTCCCTAGGACGACCTGAGAATGCCACTCGAGGGCCTAGGCTTTCCACACCAGAGGAGCTCGGCTGAGTCAGCTGGGCGTGCACTGCCTTAATGCTGTTACTCAGCCCACAAGGGAGCAGAGCGCCTATGTGCCCCAACGTGGCCCTCAACTTTCCAGGAGAGGCAGGCAGAGGGCACAGTTAAACTCCAGTTCCTTGAGAGAAGCCAATCGCGTGCCAGGACATTTTAATTTGGGACCTTAATAAGGTGCTTTGTTCTGCTGTAAATTTCCTCATATTAGCAGAGGATGCTTAGTGCACTGATAAAGTCACTTTCTATCAGAATTCACAGACACTCAGGGTTAAGGCACACCCATTCTGGTTATCAAACTTGAGCACTGAATGCAACAGAGGAAATGACCCTGCCCAACCTCTCCCTTGTCTACTGACATATGCAGCCCCAGTGCAGAGAATCCCATTACCACAAATGGCTTAGGTGGGAGGGGGCTGCAGGCCCACCCCGGCAGCCTGATTGCCTACCTTGCTGGCCCCTGAGCAGGGCTCCGAAGTGCTGGGCACAACGCTCCCCACGCTGGACTCCTTTGGCGCTGGGTCAGGGAGCGGGGCTTCCAGAGTCCTCTCCTTCTCCATCAGCGCCACTGCTATCTGGATGAGGTAGGTTTCAACTTTGGAAGGAACCAGCGTCCTGATGTCCTTCATCTTGGAAATATCTGAAAACAGATGTCGCTAAGTGACAGTAGAAGAAAATATCCCAGTTTTGAATCCCATGCAACAGAGCCCTAGATACGGGCATCCCCGAATGAGATGGTCACTTCACACGGGAGAGGGCCTGAGAGGCACAGGACAGCGGAATGACCAACAGCATCCCTGGCATCTCGAGAAGGAGGAAACCACCAAGTGCCCAGCACCTCCCTGGGACCCACGACCACCCCTCGTTCACAGGCGTAGCAAAATTTACCTCAACCTTTCCTTGGGTGTCCTGACTCCCAAGCAACCCTGCCTCACCTCTGCCCTTCTGGAGTGCCTGCCCCCACGCCCCACTGCTGATGCCCAATGAATCATGGGGGAGCGCTTGAAGAGCCCGAGTGGCAGGAGGCTTGCCGATGCTGGCAGGCCTGGTTGTGAACCTTGTCTCTTGAGTTCAGCCATCTCACCTTCCTCTTCCACTCAAGTCCCCTCCTTCACCAGCCACCCAGTCATCCACCCAGACCATTCTACCCTGTCTTCCCATCTGCCCCGCATCTCCCTACCTGACCGCCAGCATCCATGCCCAGTCCCTAGAGAAGTGAATCCACTGACCCTTGAAGCACCCCAGGACTCCCCCCATCGGTGGGTGACTGTGTGCACCAACAAGACTTCTGAGTCAATCTATCTCCAACCAGAGCAAGGGGGACAAGTCTCCCTTCACAGTCTATCCCTTCTTCCCAGGTCACCTCCCTTCCCAGGACATGATAATCAAATTGACAGCACCACCACTTCTGGAAAGGACACGTACACTGGGAATATCACTCCACACTCCCCTCCATATGGCGTCTCCGCCATGAAAACAGAAGGCCCTTGAAGGAAGGGATCATTTCCCTTTTCGGAGAGTGCAGGTTTGGCACATCGTAAAGTGTTTAATAAATGTGTTTTCATTCAGCCTATACTGGACTGACTCCTTCGGAGCAGCTGTGTGACACAGCTAATGTGCTTCCAAGCACTCCCGGCCCAATGTTAGCGGCAATCTACAGGCTCTGCATTGGATGCCCTCTAAATTCTCTTCCAATTTAGAATCTATGATTCCCTGAAGTCACGTAGCCTGAATGGCCTGAGGTTAATGGACAGGCCATGAATGGGGCGGCGGGGCTGGGGACCAGCACTTAGCATGGGATCTAGAACAGTGAAGTCATTTCAGAAACGCTTGTTGACTTGACAAGCAAACAAGAAAGGGTAGATGACAAAAATGTCAGGGCATCAGAAAAGATCCATAATTCAATCCCCATCTGAAACCTTCTCCGTTGGCCAAACACAACTGGAGTTCTACGGGAGGCATGTTAGCTAGACTACGGAGTGAGTCAAAAGAGAGGCTGGATACCCAGTACATCCAGTAACACGCTGGCACAGGGACAGGGCCAGGGATGGGTAAGGGCTTTCAAGTCACAGAGGAGAAGTTGAAGGGAGCCCTGGAGTTCACTGATGGGGGGAGGAAGGCGGTCAGGCCCGGCCTCTGCTGGTGGTGGTTCTTTTATTTTCATTCTGAGCTCAGGGGATCCCCATCACCTCCAGAAGCAAACACACCTTCCTCCCTGGATCAGTGAATCATTTCACAACCTTCCATCACTCTCTGCACTCACTCCACCAACCTGGCTCACTGCTCCCAGAGGGCAGGGACTGACTCTCTCTTGTCTTTGCACTTTGCTTGAAAACAGTCACCATGTTCTCCTCGAAGTTTTTTTCCTTCTCCCTAAACATCCTGAGCTGTCCCAACGTATCAGCATCCTAGAGCCCCCGATGCGGTGTCGCAGGGTGTCTGGCCACACCTCTCAGTGGAGCGTCACCTGCCAAGGAGCTCAGCACGCTAGCTTTGCTTCTACCTGGGCCTGATCAGGAATATCTGCCTCCCTCCCTAGGGTGCTGGGACAGCACCCTAGGGTCAGACCCTCCGGGCTCACGGCCCATGTCCACGTCTGCCCTGTCTTTCTCTCAAACACAGCATCAGAGCCTTTGTCAAAAACTCTTTGTAAAACCATCACTAAAATGCACCTCAGCCCTTTGGCACCATCTCTTCAAGGTCCCCCGATCCCAAAGGGCTGATGAGAAAACTGTTAAAAGAGCAATGGGACCCGGCGGCCTGCTTCACAGTGAGACGGGATTCTTAGACCTCGCTGCACGGCACAATTGTGATATTGTCTTGAGGAACCCAGCAAATGAAATGCAGCCTGGTTTTAGGGACCCGACACTCAGCCTGGGTAAAGGAGAAACGAAGGTTTTCTCTACTCCCTTCTAGGCCGTGCCAAGCTGGTGCCTCTGTCAGGAGGATACGGGAAAAACGCTCGCCCAAGGAACACACAGACCCCTCTTCTAAACTGCAAACAGACTGTGACCCAGAAAACTAAATGAGAAGACTTTAACCATCTTAAACAGAATGTGTACAAAGGAGACTTGAGGGGCTCGATTCAGGAAGCCAACATAATATTGAATTACTGTCTGTTGACTGTAAAAACCCATTTGACTTGAGAGGGGAATATGCTGGCCATGAGGCTCTCCCCACCCCCAAGGAGTCTCCATGCGCACCTGAAGCTCAGCAAAGAGACCCTGAAGGAGGCCACAAGGTGATCCTGGAGGTTAAAATTAAGGCATAAAACAAGGCTAAAGGAACGTGCTGCCGTGACAGAGGGTGCCCCGGGCGGAGCACCAATCGCCCAATGGAGGAGGGGGGTCTTCTAAATGCTCCTGTCTGTGGATTAACCCTGAGACTATTGGCCACAAGGCCAAGAACTCTGCCAGTCTCTGCTGAGACCACTCAGCGTGCTGCCCATCAGTAAGTACCTCGTAAGGGCTGGGCCCAAGGGATCGGGCTGGGCTATGTTTGGGAAACTGAGCCCCACTTCTCTGAAACAAAAACCATCTTTGTGACCTCAGCTTTCTCCCAGTGATGCCAGTGGCTGAGATACATAGAATCACCAGTATAACAACGAGCATGCCTCTAATGCTTTAGGGTTTCAGTGCAATGACCTTATCTGCTCCTCACAATCGCCCTGTGAAGTAGGTGCCAGTATTATCCCCATTTTACAGATGAGGAAACAAAGAGTAAGCCCAGCTCTGGGCTCCCTGACTCAGAGACACATGATACATGTTGGGAGGCAGAGGAAGGCCCCCCAGCCCCCCAGCAGGGCCCTGGGAAGATAGGGGCAGAGCTGGCCTCAGATGAGAAGGGGTCGGGGAGCTAGGAGGGAAGCACACACTGGATTGAGAGGAGTGACCCCGCCTCACCTCTATGACAGGGCAGCCGCTGGCTAACAACTCAGTACTTGCTCTGACTATTTCATCCTGCCTACCATGTGCTACAGTGTGCTGGGACCCGTCCGTGCTTAGGGTGAACCTGACTCTAAAGAACGGAAAAAACTGTTCTAGAACAATCCAATTCAACAAAAATGTGGATTTGGAAATAGTTTTTTCAAGTGCCTTTTATCCTCTGGATCATAATAGAGTTACCCTAAAACAGTGCTATGCTGATATGAACAAATGGGAGGGTGCCTTAGTTTCCCCACACATGAAAACAAAAGCAAGGGGACCATAAATATGTTCTTAAAAGGACGTACCAAAAATGACGGGGAGCTGAGAATAACAAGGCAGGCCTGGGCTGCTCTTCCTTTGGTGACCACCCCTCTAGCTCCACGCACAAACGCAAAAGCAGAGTGACCAGCCCTCCAAACACATCTCAGGAGAGCTCGGCCACTTTGTGGCTACATCCAGCACCTCCCAAACTTAGAACGATAGCCCTCACAGATGCTGAAGAAGGACCCAAAACTGACGGGCCTATTAAAGACACCTGCACATCTCCCTCCCGGGCAAGGCAATGCTAAAAACATGAACAAGCATCGTTCACGATAACATCTCACTCTTCCGAGGCACGTGACCATCATTAACGTCGGGAGAATGATGCAAACTCAGGACAAACCCATTCCCAAGTCATCGTGGTCAGCAACACCCTGAAGTCTTGGATGAAAGAACCCATGAGACCGCTTCCTCAAGGTCTCCAAAACCTTCAGCTGCTCCCCACTGCCTCTGCCTTGGCCCTGACGAGGGTCCCCTGAGCGTGCCCTGCATTCTCTGTACCTCGCTCACGCTGCTTCCTAGGCCAGAATTCTATCAACAAGCTTTTGTGGAACACCCGATGCCCTGCAAGGCACCAGGCCCTGACCATAGGGAGCTTAGACTCTACCTGTGCAAAGAAGCGCGTACCAAATATGGGCCAAGGCCATGCCGCTCACCAGCCCTGCTCCGCCTCCATGACGCCTCTGGCAGCCAAGCCCCCGTGCCCAGGAATAAGCGCCCTTTGCCCACTGCAGACTTCACAGGGCACTCTGCTCTGCGCCCCTCTAACGTGCTTTGGTAAAGTATGTTTCTAGTTAATGGGGCCTGCACCTGCCCCCTTCTGGGCTGCTGGCCTTCTGCGGGTGGGCCCACAAAGCCCGTCGAGCTTTCCTGTCCACCCAGGGCCAACACAGGGCTCTGCAGACAACAAGCCCGCATCTCTCCACTCTGGTGCCCACCGCCACACAAAGGCTTCCTAAGCTGGGGGTGTTACTGCTCCCAGGGGCAGCCTTCCCTCATACTGCCCATAGGGAACTGAGCTCAGGAAATGCAATGACAGTCACCACTGAGGACCAATGTGCCCAGATCAAAAAGGAAACAGAGGCGCTCCCGCAACCACCTCGGAACACTGAGGAGACCATGAAGGAAAGCCTGGGAGAAAATGTGGCCAAAAGAAGTGGAAGTTCTGGATCTGCACCACACCAATGACCGTCACAGCCAAGCCCCAAAGGACCAAGCTGGCCTCGGCCCCCGGGGGGCTTGGTTTGGCCGGGGGTGGGGGGAGAGCCACCATCAACACTAAGGAAGGAAACATGACTGAGACCTCCAGATGAGGAAATGCACCTGTCTTGAGCCGGGTCTCAGTATGGCCAGGCTCTGTGCTTAAGGACATGGGCAAACCGGGGGCTCCCTCAGATGGTGAGGGCAGGCCCAGGGGCTAGAGCACACACAGCACGCAGCCTTCCAGCGTGAGCCTGCCCTCCCCTAGAGGCCACCCACGTAATCAAATAAGCCAAGGGCAGACCACTCAGGCACTGAAGCCGCTCAATTCAATGGAAATATTTAGGTCCGGAGCTGTCACGTGACTAGAGTACCAAGCTCTCAGTAAAGGACGTTCCTTCCACGCCCCCTTCTGTCCCTGCAGGCTCCGAGGGCGGCCCGGGGCCCAGATCCCTTCCTAGACCTTCCTCTTGAGGCTCATCCCACCACGCTGCACCATACAGCTGCCCCTCATCTGTCCCGAGTGCCCATCACACGTACGTCATTCATGAGAAGTCAGAACAAGCGGAAGTCACGAGACAAAGAGCACTGGACGAGGGTCAGAAGGACCTGGGCTCAAATGCTGGCTTTCTCCTTCACTACCTGAATGGCCTCAGACAAAACACTGCCCTGCACCAAGCTGATTAAATGTGAAAACAAAGAGCGCGTGCTCTGCGTGAACAGGTGGTGGGGGGATCCCCGCAGAGAAGCAGGAGGCCAAGGAAGCATTCAGACCATGGTGCAGAGCACCAAAGGCGAAGGCTGCCACGGAGGCAGCAGGCAGGCCCAGGCTGGGCGGCTCACCTGAGTTGATGGGAGGTTTCCGGATCACGTCGGTGATTATCTTGCGGACATGCGGGGTCAGGCCCGCACGCTCAAGGTCCAGAGGGTAGCCCACCTTCACCGCCTGGGATAAGTGACTGCCGACCACGGGGAGAGGCATCGTCCTGCTCTTGGCAATGCTCTCCTGGGAAGACCAGAACAAAGATCAGCCACGGCTCAGGCACGCCAGGGGAAGGTGTGTCGGGGGCAGGTGGCACGGCGGCCCCGTCCTCATTCTCTGGGCAATCTCAGCGTGGCTGAGGTCCGTGCCCTCCTCTCCCCAGGGCCTTACCCCCCAGCTTGCCACAGCAAGGGCGGGCTGGCTGTTGGCCCAACTTCCACCTACAAACGGTCTTGGGGACTCGGGGCAGAGGGGATCCTATCATCCCAGATTCTGAAGAGTCCTCTACCATCTATCATACCAGAGACTGCGGGAAACTGAAACCGAGTTTCCTTCTGGAAGCCAGAGACTGTAAGCACCCTGCTTAGAAAGCACTGGCCCCCTTCCATGGCCATACTACAAATGAATCACGCCGCTCCACACTGGCCTCGCCTCCCTGGTGGTCCTTGGTTAGGTGCAGGCCGTAACTCAACACACCGCCCTAGGCGTTCACCTCAGGGGACCAGGGGCACGTTCTGTGGCCAAGTTCAGTGGGGGACAGCTTCTCCTCCTGACCTGCTGACCCCCCATGGCCGTGGACGGTCCCGTGGTGGGCTGGCTCCTCATGGGAAAGCCACTACCCTCCCAGAAGATGCAAGGGAGGTTTTAAATTACTTCCATAAACTTTTCACCCTTCCCTGCTAGACAGGGCACCATGTGTGTGAGTCATAATACTAGGGTTATTTGATACAGGGCATCAAGTTACCACACACTAATTGCACCCCTGCTCCTGAGTAATCAGTCCTTGGACATTTTTAATTTTGTGGTTAACTGACAAGTCCCCCTACTTCGGCCTCTTGGGAAGGGAAGCTAATTACACAACCAAATACACCAAAAACAATAACAAAGGGCACCTACGGTGATGGCTGCACCCGCCGAGCATGGAGAAGGGGGCTGGGCAGGGGCCCCTGGACGGCCACACGACCCGTGGGTCCAGTCTGCGCAGGTCTATGAGACCAAAGTGCTTTGGAGACCTTCAAGCTGCCTCAGTACACCAGGACCGTTACTGTCATGTGACGGTACACGTTGAAATGCACATGCCACCCATGTGCCACACAGCCGGTCAGGTCCACATACAGCTGATTTTTCAATGTTGAATTTTGGTTCCGATTTTAATTAAATGCCACCCCTTCTGACTGGCTCCCAGGGGCACCCTGGCCAAAGGGCTGGGCCTGGAGTCAGGAAGACCCGAGTTCAAGCCCAGTCTCAGACACTTACTAGCTGTGTGAGTGTGGGCAAGTCTTATACCCACTGTCTGCCTCAGTTTCCTCATCTGTGAAATCAGGAAAATAACAGCAGGTCCTTCCGTAAAGTGCTCTGTTAATGCGCGCTATTCATAATCAGCCTACAGGCTGCCGGCTGAATCCTGATGAGTCTGGGGTCCTGTTCAGCCCCATCTACACTGGCCCTTCCAGTACATAAGAGTCTGGAGGAGCCCAGAAAGAAGACAGACCATCAGGCCAGGCTGAGCGAGAAAATCATTCGAAGGGGATGACCCCATTTCAGACCAGGCCTCCTTTCCAAAGAGACTCAGAAAAGCACATCCTTCTTTTGGAGGGACACACGCCCAGGCAAGCCTGATGTTCTCAGGCCAACCTGAGGCACAATGGAAGTCTTTGGAAGGTGAAGGATTTTGGAATTGCCCCTAATTCCCTAATCTAAGTTTCCCTAAATCTCCTCTTAGAACAAGGATCTTGCCAGTCCAGTCCTCCAGGCAGCCTTCCCGCTCCGACCACACGCAGCCGCAGCCATCGGCGAGGCTGGGGACCGAGGCGCCCAGATGACAGCTCAGGGCCATCAGCGTGACCACGACGCGAGTGGGCACGAAGCATGGTGCCGATCCCCCGCGGACCCAAAGGCAACACTCACCAAAGACAGGTTCTTTTCCTGGAACAAAGAGTAAGTGATGGAGACCGACTTCGCAAGCGGTATGTGCTCCTGTTTCTTTGCCAGGCTGCTCTCCTCCGAGCCGGGTGAAGGGCTGGACGACAAGTCTGTCTGCAAGAGAAGAAGAGAGAGCAGAGCACCAGTCTTGTCAGAAGCAACCCAAGAGCTCCCCCAGTTCCATCTGCCCAGAAACAAAGACAACAAATGGAGGGTGAGGGAATTCTGGAACGCAGGACCAGGCGAGGAAGGGATGGATCCAGACCAACCCATGTACATTGGCTTACGGGGCACGGGGAGGGGGGACAGGCCTGCAGCCTCACAAAGCGAGAGCTGGGCATCTAGTCCACCGCCCCATGAAGAGGGAACAGACCTCCAAGAGGGGAGGTGACTGGCCCAAGGTCACCAAGGATGGAAGGGACAGAGGCAGAATTGGCACACAGCTCTGACACTCCAAAGCCAGCCTCCTCAGTAGACTACGCTGACGCCCTACAAAGTCAGGGCCTTCCCTTTGGCCCTGAAGATGGCATCACAAAGGATTTCTAGCTGTTCTACTTGCTTTTATTCTAAACGCCAAAAAACAACACAGCTTTAGAAGGTCAACAAACCGCAAACCTCCCTTCCTCACAATGGAAGCAGCCGGCCGAAGGGAAGCACCTTGGGACTCCTGCCTTTGTGACCGACGCCTTTTCCAGATTTTTGGTGCTGTTCTTTTCTCCCCCAAAGGACCACAAGTCTAGGAGCAGGAAGGTCCTTGGAGGTTGCTGAGGACATTTTACAGACGGGGAACATGAGGCCCAGAGAGGGGAAGGCACTTGCCCCAGGTCCCAGCTTGGGCAGTGAACGTGAAGGCAGCATTCAGACTTGAGTCCTCTCTCCCAACTGGAAGCACAGAAAGGATGACAGTAGGACTGATTTTGGCCTATCACAGGAAGCCTAGACCCAGAGCTCATGACGCTACCTAGGGGAGAGCTCAGGGCTTTTTTTTTTTTTAAACAGAACCAAATTCTGGCAGGGTCTGAGAAGTATGTGGAGTGGGAGAGACACAAGTCATCCCAGACCATCAAACATATGCAGTGCAGAAAGTGTAGACACCATGGCCCTCGTCAGCTGGAAGGAAAGGTCTCAGAGGGGCAGCAAGTGAATAGCTGTCCCATGCATGCACGTCTCCCTCCAACCTCACCACTCAGGGCTTCTTTGGCTGTTTCCATGAAAACCCTCAGGGTCAGGGTCTGTTCCAGGCCCATTCCAGGGGTGCCCCTATCAGCCCAGGGTCCCTGGTCACGCTAGTCTGGGAATCCAAGCTGCCATGTAGGCGTTTTGCACATTGGCAGGGAGAAGGCCAGGTCCCTCTCTGGTGCATCTGAAGCACACCCAGGGTATTACCTAAAAGTGAGAATAACCTCACTCCTCAGGAAAGCCTGGAACCATGATCTTCACCCAGGGTCCTCAGGACGAAGGCATCCTGGGACTAGAAAGCAGGAAGAGTAAGGGATCCAGAGTCCGGGCTCCCGGTGGCACCTGACCAGGCCTTGACCCAAATCACCTCTGGGGAACTCTCCAAGGTGCTAAAAAGAGAGGGCAGCCTTGGGTCCTCTGGCATGTGGGCCAAGTTGGCTCCAGACCTCATCCTCCAGAGAGGACTATCTAGAGTTGATCTGACAAGCCTTGGAGAGGAAATGTAATCTTGAAAAAAAGGCTGAGCATATATACGGCATTTTACAAGTCAAACAAGGGGTTAACCATGTCATTCTGACAATCTTATGAGTTAAAAATAGCTCTCTTCAGGCTCTTTGTGGTACTGGTCAGAAGGACCACGTCCTTCCCCAGTACATTCAGTAACTTTGTCAGGCTTCATTCAGTTTGAGCATCTGCATTTCAATGAACATCACAAACAACGAAAAGCTCTACTTCTGCTCACAGGAAGCTGTCGGAGGCCCCTCAAAGTATGGAATCTGCCTCCAGAGCTGAAGAGCACTTGAAAAGATGCTTAACATTTATATTCATGAAATTCAGTCAAACAATTTTCCCCTAAGCCTTTGTCTTAGGCTCCTGCTCACCTCCTCGGCTACAGAATTCTGATTAGAAGCGGAGGGACAAACACTGTCATGAGGGTTCTCTCTAGATTTCGCAGACTCTGTCCCTCCTTTCTTCTCCTTCCATAAAAGAAATTTAGATAAACAATGAAATCTCACTTGTGATGACTTTAAAAATGTTCCCTATTTTCAAAAAGAAAAAGCATCAAAATTGTTGTTATTTAGGCTCTTGGAGATTTTAATGATGAGAAAATGTCAATCCTAAGACATAAACTAATCGTCCCCACCCTGTACAGAAAACACAACCTCAAATTAGCTAGCTGCCCATGAACCTTTCCAGGGTTAGGAAATAAAGTCTCCCAGAGGCACCTGGGACCAACTAGAGTGTCTCTCCTGACACTGTTCAGAATGACAAGCTTCTGAAACAAAATTTAAAAATTAGCAAATAGGGGAGGGGAAGGGTGGGGGAGGTGAAAGGGGAAGCATGCTTGTCTTTAGAGGAAAAAAACCATGAAAATATAAATTGGACTCTATCCATTCTCAAATTCAATCAATCAATCAGCAGTTATTAGGTGCCCAGAATGTGCCAAGCACTGTACTAAGCACTGGGTATACAAAGACAGAAGTGAATCAGTCCCTGCCCTGAAAAGAGGCAACACCAATGGTAGCCACGCCAAGAGCTCCCCAGTGAAGATGAGGGTGACAGGGAAGGAGGGTGCTCACAGCTGGCAGAAACGAGCAGGCCTCCTGCAGAAGCTAGCCGAGAGCCAAGCTCTGAGGGATCTTGGATTCCAAGGGGTGGTGAGTCACAGAGACAGAGGCAGGAACATGCTGTACGGGGACAGGGCACAGCAGCGTGGACGACAGTGTGTGTGAAGGGTAACGAGGAAGAGCTCAGGAAAGGCAGGATGAGGACAAGTTCAATGGCGGAGTTTATACTTGATCCCAGAAGCAATAGGGAGCCTCAGAAGTTTACTGAGTAAGGGAGGTCGCCACACCTGAGCTTCAGGAAAATCCATTCGGTGGTTGTGCAGAGGCTAGTTTGCAAAAGATTCTGGAGGCAGGGAGTCCAGAAGAAGGGTGACGTGGTCCTGAGCCAGGAGAGATGGACCTCTAAGAGCAAGGAGCTGATGATCCAGAGATAGGAGAGAGTGACAGGAAGGAGCCGGGGAGACTGCAAAGGCAGTGCCACCTGGGACAGGCAGACGGGAGGTCTGAGGGGAAAGACCCCAAGCTCTGCTGAGAGGACAGCCAGTCCTCCACACCCAGCACGTACTGGTGGTGACCAAAGGCCGGGGCCGGACACGTACGAGCAGTCATCAGAGGTGACCGTGGGCACTCACGGGGGCTGAGGAGGTCGCCTGCAGCATAACGCAGGGCAGGGCTTTGGACCCCGGGAGCAGCAGCCCAGCAAAGCCCCCGGGCCCTGCCCAGAAGAAGACTTTTAAATGAAAAGAGTAAAACGCAGAAGATTATGAAGGAAAGCAATTGTCTTGAAATACAGTTATCAAAATATTTAAAAAGCAAGTTCATGGATCCCAAGTGAAGAAGCCCTGGGGAAGGGAGAAGATCCAGATGATTCTTGAGGAACAGTCAGGAAACAAGCATTTATTAAGCACCTACTATGTGCCAGGCACTGGGCTAAGCAGATACAAAAATAGGCAAAAGACGGTGCCTGCCCTCAAGGAGCTGACAATCGAACGGGGGAGACAAGAAGCAGGCAAATACGCAGAACAAGCCTGAGGCAGGATAAGCAGGACGCCGTGAACAGGGGAGCCCCTGGAATGAAGAGGGGCTAAGGGGGGACTCCAGGGGGACTTAACGGAAGCCAGCAAGGTCAGGAGTCGGAGCTGAGCACGGAGAACATTCCAGGCCTGGGGAACGGCCAGAGAAATGCCCAGGACTGGGAGACGGAGGGTCGTGTTGGTGGCACAGCCAGGAGCCGGGGTCACTGCACCGGAGAGGACATCTTGGGGAGGAAGGTCAGGAAGGGCTCTGGATGCCAAACTGACCATTTTCTATTTGACCCCGGAAGTGACCGGAAGCACTGGAGTTAAATGAGGAGGGAGGGTGATGTGATCAGACCTGGGCGTTATGAAAATCACCATGGTGGCGGAGGAGGATGGGCCGGTGCAAGAAGAGATCGAGGCAGGCAGCTCCCCCAGCAGCCACTGCACTAGCCCAAGCGTAAGGCAATGAGGGTCTGCCCTGGAGGGGGCAGCGCCAGAGGAGGAAAGGGGGTATATTTAAGAGATGAGGCAGAGGTGAGACGGACAGGGTAGAGAGTGAGCAGTCTGTGACCTGCACTCACTCCTACACCATGGAGAACCCCCCACAGATCCTCGAGCTGGAGAAGCCCAGTACCCACCACCCAGGTGCCGAAAGCCCTTTCTGTTTGGAGACCGTCTGAGTCTCAGCGCATGTGTTAGAGGGCAGAGAAAGGCTGGGCCAGAGAACAGGCCGGGTGGGGGGAGCCCCGCCCTCCTCAGGGCCACAGCTCTGTGCATCTCACCGGAAGCTTGTTTGTCTGGCTGAAGGCTCGAATGACCTCCAGGAGAGGGGCGAGCAGCACGCACTTGGCCTCGGAAACGCCTTCAATGTTTCTCAGACTTTCCAAGGTACTTGGCCTGTTGAAAAAGATGAGATGAACATGAAGAAGGCACCGGCGCCTCTGGGCAGGAGCTGACTGATAACGGCTCCATGCTGATCCTCACAAATTAAGTGAAAAACGTGTTCCCGGCTGCCGAAGCCCCTCGTCCCCAAAGGCGACAGGTTCGATCTGGGCCGTGTGGTAGCACAGGGGCAGTGCCGGGACCAGAGGCAGACCTGACTCCCTGACGAGCTCTGGGACCCAGGGCAGGCCACTTCACCTCTGTCTGCCTCCGCGTGCCCCTCTGTAAAATGGGGACAGTAACGGCCCCCACCTCCCAGGGCTGTTGTGGAGATCAGAGGAGTAACATCTGTAAAGTACTCCGTATAAAGGCCAGCTATCATCATCATCATTAAGGGAACTCCACAGAGAACACGCAGCAGTTTCACTGGAAATATGTCCAACGATTAACAGCCGAACAGTGCAGGTCAACAGTCTGAGGAGCGTCTCCTTACCAGGAATCCCGATCTGAAGAGGGGGATCACTAAGGGCCACTAGCTGGCCAGTGCTGTGTGGACACAGCCCTGGGGCTGGGGCTCACTCGGCCTGAGGGGACACAGGGACACGAGGGAAGGAGCTGGAGAGGTGGGGAGGGGGGCTTCCGGGCAACGATGAGAAGGGTGAACGGGCCTGGGCAGAGGCACCCACCAAACCAAGCAGCCAAGGAAGCCGTCTCATGTGCCCACATCATCAGGTGACAAATCTGGAGCTGGAAGGAGGAGCAAGGACCCAGCCCCAGTACCCCGCCTGGGCCTGGGGACCTAGCTACGCTCACACTCACTGGCACCCTGACTCTCCTGGAGGTAGATTTCAGTGTGGCCTGGTTAGTAGGCATGCTTAAAACCTGGAAAACTGGCAGACAGAGCTGGGGGCGAGGTGAAGTCAAGGCTGTACAATAAACGGACACAGAGGGCAAGAGGAGACATCCAGCCTTGAGCTCGGGAGGCCGGGGGTCAGAAGAGGGAGCTGTAGGCGGCAGATCTCAGGCAGCGAATGAATCCTGTTCTTAGACCCGGCAACCAAGGGGCACCCACAGGACCTCAGGCAGCCGCGGGAATTCCCCTCGCAGGTGGGGTTAGCGGAGCCCAAGGACCAGACGAGGGACGAAGCGTACCGTGTGCCGTGGCCCAGGAGGGAAGGGAGCCGGCATGTGTAGCCGCCCCCCCCGTCGGGGGTGTCCACACTCACCTCATCTTGGCCATGTCCACCAGCACCTTGTTGGTGGCCAGCAAAGCTGGAGGGATGTCCTTTTCACTGGCCTGCTTCTGTCTTGCTTCCACCAGCTGCCAATACAGCGTAGTCTGGGCAAAAAAAAAAATCACAAGCCCTACAAGTCTCAACAAAGCACGCTCCAAAGACATACAAAAACCCAACAGTCTACCCATGGCCTTCGGGCCTCAGCCAGCACATGGTTCCAGCGTGCGACAGATCAAGTACAAGCCGGGAATCCCAGACTCCCAAAGGGAACGTGGGGGCAGCCCACACAGAGCCAGAATCCCCCTTCAGCACACCTGAAAAGGGGTCACCCAGCCTCGGCCATCTGACTGACCCGGCCGGGCAGCACGAACACCAACATCCACACGTGCATAATCACAGATGCATTTTAGTGAATGCTGACACGATCCTTTCCTAAGTGACAGTGAGCCAGTCCCCTAACCTCTCGGGGCCTCAGTTTCCTCCAAACTCTAAAATGAAAGGTCCGGGTCTCTTAGGACCCTTCAGACAACGACAGAAAACAGTGGTGCAGACATCATCAACCCTTTGTTACAGACTACCCAACAGGTTCAGAGGGGTGGGGGGTGATTGGCCGGCGTCACCCAGCCAAGCAGAGTGGGACACAGAGGTTCCGTCCCAAGGAACAACCTCCCTGCCTCGCCCTGATTTACCTGACACTCCTCCTCTTTGGATGACACCGATGCTTGGGAGTCAAGGGACCCAGGAAGAGGCTCCGCTGGTGACGCTGGCCAGACACTACACGATTCAAAGGAAAAGAGACCTAAGGTGAGAGTGGGGTGAGGCCTTCACCCCCTACTCCAGAGACAGGCATCTGTCCGGCAGCCGGTGTCCCCTCAATTCTGGTCACCGAGGCTCCTTGCTTAGACACCGCTGCCAGTGGGAATCCAGCAGGCAGGCACGTGGCCAACACTGAAAACCATCTGTCACCAAAAAGCCGGCTTCTACATTAGCGGATGATGAGCATCTCCTCGTCAGCTCGCCCACAGAGGAAAGACAACGCTGTCTTAGCAAAAGCCGAGGGAGGAGCAGAGAAACCCAGACCCAAAGCCCTCGAGGAGAGACGAGGGCGAGGCTCGACACGGGTATTTAAAGGGGGCTCACACACTTGAATTCTCCTCCAGTCTGACGCTCATCAGGCAGTCTACTGAGAGCTCAAGTTCTTTACTTCACCCGCTCTTCCAAAAGGCCCTGGGAGGTGGCCTCTACAGGAAGAGTGGTCTCCATTCCATAGAGAAGTGATTTGTGTTACCATGGAGACAATCCATGACCCACAACTGTAATTCCAAGTATAGCCAGGCCAAAACACACAGCCAGTGAACTTTAAATGTATGGAGATTTATGGCCTTGAACTCGAGGAAAGAGGAATTCTGGGGTGAAGAGGAAAACAAAAGTATTGAGGCACTCTCGTGGTCTACTTATAAACACCTACAGAGTCAACTAAAAATGGGCTGGAACAGTGATTTTGTACCATTGGAGATCTGGTTCTAGTTGGTTCTCCTCTCCCCCGACCGCCCGACCCCGAGATTCTAGCCTTCGTGTCCCCCGCAGATGGATGTTATCATTCCTTTTGGCTCGGCGTAGCCCGCTTAGCATGGCATGAGTAATGGGTCCACGGCCACACACGGCCTGGCCAGGAGGGCGTCCTCCCGCTCCCGTGATTCTGCTCCATTGTTACGTACGGGGGAGTTGTACTCATGGTTCTCGGCCTCTGGATGAGACTGGTCTCCTTGGGCCCCAGGGCTGATCTCCGGGCTCCCTGTCTAACCTCTCCACACCGCCGTGCCAATCTTATTCACTCTTCCCCCATCATCCACCTCACAGCTTCAGCTGCACGCTGCACGGGGCTCCTCCAACCGGACACCCCAGCCCTGCCTCAAACCACATGGCCCACAACAAGCTCATCATTTTCCCCACTGAGCTGGCCTCCTCCCACCTTCCTCACTGATGCCAATGGCACCAACATTCTCCAAGTACCTTGGCTTAAGGGGGGAGGAGAGAAGAAAGGAGTGCTGCGGGATCTGATGCCCCCCTCCCTCAATCAGCTGTCACAGCACAACTTCAGGCTCCGTCATCTCTGAGCTGGATGACTATAACAGTCCAAGTGGCAGCCCTGGCTCTCATCTCTCCTAGATACGGTCCCTCCTCTCTGCTGACGCCTCACCTAAACCTTCCAGATCTAGACGGAAGCAGCATGAAGAAAAGCGTGCCCAACGCTCTCTGGGCCAGCGACAGGCTCACACTGCCTCCAAGACCCTCAGACCTTTCCTATGACTCCACCTCCCCCAGCTTTCTCACCTGATCCCGCCCCCACACAGTTAGCCCAGCCGCTGGCACCTGCTGCAAGCCCTCACCACCGCATACCTGCACTATTTATCGCAAGAGTCTGCTGGCTGGTCTCCCCACCTCAAGCCTCTACCCACTTCAGTCCATCCATCACTCAGCGATCCCCCAAAGGCACAGGCCTGACTGTGTCAGTCTTTACTCAGTAAACTCTAGCAGCTCCCTGTTACCTCCAGGAGCAAATATAAGATCCTCTCTTGGGCCTTTAAAGCCCTTCCTATCTCTCTAGTCTTCTTCTACCTTACTCCCTTCCATATACTCTGCAGCCCAGGGCTACTGGCCTCCATGCTGAAAGGAACGCTCCATCTCCCAACTCCTGACGTCTCCACAGCCACCTCTCGGGCCTGGAATGCTCTGCTTCTTCATTCCCCCTCTGCTGGCTTCCCTCAGGTCTCAGGTCAAATCCCCACCTTCTGCAGGAAGCCTTCTCCTGTCCTCCTTGACCTCAGTGCCTTCCCTCTGCGGCCACCTCCAATTTAACTTGTCTCTATCTCGTTCCAGAGCAGTTGTTTGCAGCCCGGCTCCCCCATTAGACTGTCAGCTTCGTGAGGACAGGGGCTGTCATCATCCCACTGCAGCACATCTCTCCAAAGTTACCAGTAATCTCTTAACGGCCAAATCAGATGAAGGTCTCACTAATCAAACATGTAGAGAACTGAGCCAAATTTATGTATTCCCCAGCTGATAAATGGAATAAAGGACACAAACAGGCATTTTTCAGAGAAAGAAATCCAAGCTGTTAATGGTCTTATGAAAAAGTGGTCTAAATCACTAACAATGAGAGAAATACAAAGAACACAGGGAGCCGCTAGAGGGCGCTATAGTGCACAGAGCGCTGGGCCTGGAATTAGGAAGACCTAAGTGCAAATCTGGCCTCAGACACTGACTAACTGGGTGACCCTGGCCAAGTCACTTCCCCCATTTGTCTCAGTTCGTCATTTGTAAAGTCAGCTGGAGAAGGAAATGGCAGACCACTCCAGTGTCTTTGCCAAGAAAACCCCCAAGGGGGTCATGGAGAATCCGGCCCGACTGAAAAACAACTCAACTTTCTCAGTTCTTTGGATCATGACACCACACTCCAACTCCCCATTGCCTCCAGTCTCACACTCTGCTGAAGGAAGAGCCTACCCCAGATGCCACAGCGAATGCTACCAGAGCGTTGGCACAGGACCCCAGAGGGCAGGGGCCCAGGCCCAATCTAACAGAGCTTTCCCCAGTCTACACAGCCAGTCAAATTCCACTTCGTGGTCCCTCAGTCCTTACGTTTCAGAGTTGCTGTGCAATGAGGCCAAAACACGGGCCGAGGGCCCTGAGGAACAAGGCTTGGAGGCCTTTCCTCCCAGGGATGATGCTGTCTTTGGTGGTCCCTGCCCTGCAGCCAGCCCTCTACCCCCTGGGGCACTTGACTGGGATGGCTGATGGAGCCTCAGTTACTCCAAGGGTCCTGGTCCCAACAGGGGACCATAAGGAGATGGCCTGAAGAGAGTGGACTGCTGGCCATGAAATTGCATCCTTCCATTCACCAAGTGCCCAGACCAGAGGGACGGCGTAAACAAGGTGGCCCCTTCCTCAAAGGACACGTGAGTGAAGCGTGTCCTGTTTTCTGGTTTGCCAGGCAGTCCTCTATCTTGTGGACTCTACCAAGCACAGTTGTCATCGGCACCAGGAAGGCCCAGCCCAAAGCTTTCTCCTATTTCCTAAGTACACTGACCTCGTTACCAACCATAGAATTGGGGGCTTACAGCTCTCTCTTGCACAATTTATATCTGCCATAGGAAAACCCTCATTCTTTCTTAAAAAAAAAGGGGGGGGGGGAATCCATTGTACAGCACAAACCCCCACGTAGTAAAAACTGCTAAAGACTACATATCTTATTAGGGTTATCATTCCCAGAAGAAACGTTAATAGTGCTTTTATAAGAACACATTTTCTGCAAGTTTTCCTGGTTTAAATATATACAAATCCCATTAAAAATGCAAATTATGAAATCTGAAGAAATTAACAGTTTTTTAAACTTTTCAAAAAATGCATTCAGACACACACCCACCCACACCCACACCCACACCCACACACACACACACAGCAGTCAGTCATGAAGAAGGGCACCAGCCCACAGCACTAGGACTCCAACTGTCTGAAACTCTGGAGCAATAAGATAATTTTTCCCTTCCCCCCGCCCCCCCACCTCCCATTCCCCAAGACAAGCTCTTTGTCGGCTTGACTTTGAACGTAAGAAGGAGACAGCAGCAGGATCAGCACTTGGCTCGGGACAGCTCCTATCAGCCTGGCCTCTCCAAGGCTGCCCCAACCATGAAAACTGGTGCTGCCAGCCATGGGAACGAGACTCAGGCCAAGCACAGAAGCTCAGCTCATCAAAGGCTCTGGAAAGAATTTCAAATAGGACTGAAAAAAGAAGATAGAAGTTCTGGTGAAGAATAAATTAAGCAGAAAATTCACGGATCACAAGAATTCGCTGGTCCTACATTCAAGTTATTCAAGGTCAAGGCTATAATTAAATTAAGCTCTATAAATACAGAATATATTTATAAATGTCTAAGTAAGCATTACTAAAATTAAATCAAGCTCTAAAAATTACAATAAAAGCACTGAATGCAGAGAGGCCCAACGAATCCTGAGCTTTTCTCAGAAAAATCTAAAAATGTCATGCGTCTAACTTTCATTGTGAACCTGCTATCGCCTGCCTGCCACTTGTGAGCATGCAGGCTGAAGCTTGAGAGCAATCTCTGCTCTCCTTGACTGAGACACTGCTAAACTCTTATTTGGCCCTGAAATCTCAGACCACAGAATTCAGAGGTGGAAGGGACTTTCGACGTCACCTCCTCCCAAATGCCCAGATGACCTCGAGGGAAGCAAAGAACAAAGTGGCAGGGGGTACTGCAGAAGTTGGACAGGGAGCAAGCAGCAGAGCCAGCATTTGAACTCAGGTCCTGTTTCTCCAAACCCCAGGCTCTCTCCTTCCACAGCAGACTTCCTCCTCTAGTGCTCTTTAATCATCATAACCCCTCAGCAGACACCGGGTCACAGAAACCCCCCAGGGAAGGACAAGCCACGCCCCTAGCGCACCCACCCAGACCACTGCCATCCCCTCTACCCCCGTGGAGAAGATGCTAGGCCACAGAAACCCACATCGGAGAGCTCTCCCTCCAGATTTCGAGCTTGGCTAGTTCATGTCTCCTTTCTCCAGCCAAGACAAGTTACACACTTTGTTCCACAGCTAACCTTCTCGATGGAGACACAAAAAAACCTCCCCCCTCCCCCCCAACCCTTTAAAACAAGCCCTCTTCAAGGAAGCTGGCCCTCTGTCAGAGGAACCCTGTTCTATGGATACAAATCTTGTTGTGAGACTATTCACAATAAAACATGTTAGGTCAAGTGTTCAACTAATTCTGATTTCAGACACTCAGCCTTTAGGTCCTCACAAACTCAGTACAGCCCCAAACCTCCATGTCGGCTCCACAGACAATGGCTTATACTCTCCGCTCAGGGAAGGAGAAGATTTTTGCCTTTTTTTTTTTTTTAAAGCCTACTCAGTCAAATCTCTGAAGAGCTCAAGAAGGAATTAAACTATTACAACTGGTAAAAATGCTAAAAGGTGGCACCAAACGGATTCCCTTTCACCCTATGAAACAAAAGGAAGAGATATACGGCTTCCCCACCATGCCTGTCTTCTTTAGCGGGAAGATGTTGGTCGCAGGACCACTCTCGGGCATGTGTCACGTTCTCCAGCACCTCTCCCCACCCACATCCTGCACCCATCCCCTGCGGTCCAGTAAGTATACTGGTGACAACCTAAACAAAGCTAAAACAGACATTTCCTGGGTACCCTGCTGCGGAATGATAATGTCCAGATGACTTATTAGCAGAAAACCAATGGAATTTTAAAAAAATGAACCTTAGTTTTAGTAATTTCCTCGGACATAGGTCTTCACTGGCATGAAGGAGGAGTGTTCGGGCTGATTCATCAACGGCTTTATCCAGCCAGGCTCTACCCTATAAAACCAAAAAAACCTTCAGTCAGACAATGAGCATGTATTTCGTGACTATTACATGCAAGGTTTAGACGATAAGCACTTATTATGTGCCTGCTGTATGCAAGCCCTGTACTAAGTGCTAGGCCTTTAAGGAGCTCACATCCTAGTAAGAGGTCCATTTAACACACTCTGTGTGTGAGCATGGAAACATAACAGAAAGGCCAGCTTCTACACTCTTACCTCCTTCGTAAGGACGCACAATTTGGCAAACTTCTTGCACCCCGCCTTTTCTTCCAAAAAACCCTCTAAAATGAGCTGTCGAGCCAAAGCCTTCCACCAGCTCTCCAAATGGTCCTTGCCACCACCAAAGAGACAATGCTGGCGGAATTTATCAGGAAGACGTTGAGAATTCTGAAATTAGGAGGAAAAGCCATCATCTACAAATTTTTCCTTGCTGATAGTAGACAGAGTACTCATTTTGTCAAGGAGACAACAAAAGCAGGCTAAAATTCTCTTGGGGTGGGTGCCCTGAGTGGCTGGTGGCTTTGGCAGATGGCAGATTCCATCACCTGGAGCACACCCCAACACTACCGTACCTCACCTCCAGACCACTTTTCTGATATGTAAAGAAAAGAGGATCCGAAGCCACCATCTGGTCAAGGCGAAGAAGTCTAAAGTCCACTCCCACATTTCATTCTATTTTTCTTACAGTTAAACTGACCAAGGCCAAGCAGCGGTTGAGGCTTACACAGAAGCCAGCTTAGAGCACTAATTGTAAAAAGAACAACGAAAGAGGGTTCTAAGCTATCCCAGGACAAGGACGGGACAATGACCAAGGAAGCAGAATGACCAAACTCCTATTTTTCTTCTGTCTTCCCTGCCAAGGAGAACAGACTTTGGACCCCAAAGTACAGAACAAAAAGGTCTGAAAGAGGAAAACCTCACAGGAAGCAAAGAGACCACACAAGGGCATCTGCATGAGCTCAAGTCATCTGCCCTAGACTGCCCAGCCACAACCGCTAAGCCCCTTGTGGTCAATGACCTTGAAAAGCCGCATGTTGTCCCCAAGACTCCACCATCCGCTGCCCTGCCCGGCAGGCAGCCACCTGCAGCTTGCCCTCCCTCGGCCCCGCCCTCCAATGCCCCCCGCAATGTCCTCCACGGCCCCTGCCACCTCTCGCCTGGACTACTGATGAATGACTGCTCTCTGTCCTTTCATCGCGGCTCTTCCTTCTCTAACCTATCCTCTCCCAGTGGGCAAATAAATTCTCCTAAGACACAGACACAGACACAGACACAGACACAGGTCATTCTCCTGCTCAGGAAGGTCCAGCTACTCCCCAGTGCCTCTGCTTCAGAACACACGCTCCTTCACCCAGTATTTAAAAGCCTGCATGGTCTGACTCCGTCCCCCCCTCCCCAAGCCCAGTACCCCCCTTCATCGGCCAACCTGCCTCACTGGTCTTCCCTCACCATCCGCAAGAGGCCATCCCATATCCACACCTTTTACCCAGAGGAGGGGCCCTGTGCCCATGCCCCTGCCGCCCCCATGCTTACGCTACCGTCTCACCTCTGCCTCTTAACATCTTCCTTTGGGTTTCAGCTCAAGCTCCTACCCACCAGCCTTTGCTGATGCCAGCGCTTGGGCGGGCTCGCTCAGTGGCCATATCCCTTGGGGACGAGGCCGCTCGGATTCTAGCGTGTCCTCTCTGTAGGAGATCCTCCTACCAGTCTCACCTTGCCCCACTGCGTGAATCTCTCAGTACACGCCCAGGCAGACTGCTGAGGAAGTCGCGCTTCCTGGAAAGCACCGCTTCGCCTCTATTTCTGCAGCTCTCTGCCGTGGTGCACAGACACCCTGGTCACCAGCATCATAAGCATCAAACAGGGGAAAAAGCAGCGTGGAGTCCCAGCCCAGACGCTAACTAGCTGTGTGGCCATTCACATGTTCCTAAACCTCTCTGGCCAAGTCTGATCATCTGTCAAGTGAGGCTAATAATGTATCTCAGACTCTCCCGTTACCTACTGACTTACACAGCTACGGCTACCCTCTCGCGTCGGCACGAGAACCACTGAAACCTAATTGAGGGCCCCCACCAGGGGCAAGCTAGGTGGCACAGCGGATAGAGCATTGACCTCAGAGTCAGGAGGAGGACTTGAATTCAAATCCAGACACTTATAGCTATGTGACCCTGGCAAGTCACTTAATCCTTCTTACCTCAGTTTCCTCATCTGCAAAATAAGCTGGAGAAGGAAATGGCAAACCACTGCAATATCTTTGCCAAGAAATCCCCAAATGGGGTCACAAAGAATCGGCCATGATTAATCAACTAAGCAACTATCACCAGCCCCAGGCTTTCCTAAGTCATATTCAACAAAAGGCTACCACTTGACCATCTCACAGCTTACTGAAAGAGGTCAAGAGCAGAAGACGCCTCTATGCTAACTATCTGGCGACTAGGAAAAAGCCTGTGATTCTCTGGCAGAAAACTCTCCTGAAAGTAGAAGTCAAAATACATTCCTCCTGACCATCATCTTGGGAATCAGTTCACTCTGCGCAGCTCCACAGGTCTTTCTACATCCTGGGTCTGCCAGGATGCCTGTGCCAGGATGTCTGTAGGCGAGCCTCCCACAATCTGGGCCACCCACCAACTTGCTCAATAGGCCAACTAAGCATTTACCCCCATCCTTGATAAGAAGACTGAACCAAGCAGGTCCAAGAACTGAGGCCGGCAGCAATCCACCCCAACTGGGGCTCATGAACTTTGTTTTGTTTGTTAAACAGCATTTTAACACGGATGACTGGCTTCCTTTATAAGCCTATGCATTTAGATTTATTATGCACTTAAAAACATGATTTGGAGATTTCACCAGACAATGGCGAAAGGGCCCCAAGACACACAGGTGAAGAACTGAGCTACCAAAAAGCTTCCTACAACTGGCTGGGGTCAGATTTGATCCCATTTAATTGTACTAATAGAGAGTTCATAGGCAAGCCAAAAAAAAACCAGATAATCCTGAAAGAATGTCAGAAAGAAAAGGAATTCATTCAGTTGGCAATTATTTAAATCCTAGGGAAAAAGGCCAACATAAAACATCTTTGTGTAAGCTAAGGAGGGGCAACGTACCCTACTGGAATCACAGTGGACACCTGGTATCTTCACTATGCTACAAACAAACAGAAAAGGCTTGATGCTTAGCCCGTGCTCCCCCATTAATAATCCACAAAGACAGATGTGGTCTTGTCTATCAAAACAATACATGTATACGCTCAGATTTATCCTCATTAGGGAGACAATTTAGTGAATTCCCAAAGAGTTAAAAGTTACGATTCAAAAAACAAGCCCCCGCTATTATGACAGTCCTTTCTACGCAAGCTCGCCTTGGGTCTTGGCAGGCGGTGGGTGCTGGCATGACATCTGCCTTGGTTAGGAAGTGGCTTTTTTTTAAAAAGTTCTAAATCTTTGTCTAGCAAGGGTGGTATACAATTTCACGAAGGATAACTTTTTAAACTGAAGACTCCCAAAAGGGCTTGTCTGACTCCACGTCAAACAACAGGTGAAATCTGACCTCTCGTGGGAGCCCCTCGAGCTCCATCTGGGAGCTCACTTATGTTCATCAAGGACCTGAGCAGACTACAGCAAATTAAAACCAAGATAATTTAACATGTCATACCTCCGACTGGGCTACGGGCCACATGGGCCATTTAATAGCATTTTTCAAAGACATTCAAAGTCTTCCCCTCACATCTTAGTGGTATTTGGGGGGGGGGGGGGGGGGAATGAGTTTCACATAAATCAGGTAAAATAAAAACTGGAAAGCTACAAATCTGCGCCACTGCCACCCTGCCCATGCCCCACATGGTTCCCTGGACCACCACCCAAACAGAGCTGGGCTGGCCGGCCAGCTCCCACTACTGTGGGCTCTAAGCAGAGCAAACTCGGAAGTCAAGGCAGCCACAAACGAACGGAAACTCTCGTCCAAATGTTTAAGAAGGTGATGCATCCAAAGCAAGTGCTTCTGAGTATACTTGAAAAAAAACAATGGATTTCCCATATATGCTGCCTTGCGCTACCTCCTCCAGGGTTCCCTTTCCTACTTTCTGTGGGAAGGGAAGGAGAAGGGAATAGACATGCATTAAGCTCCGACGGTGTGCCAGGCACTGGGCATCTCACATGAACCTCACAAAAACCTGCGAGGAGGGAGTGTGATGCTGAGGAAAATGAGGCCCAGAGCAGTGAAGTGTCTTGCCCAGGGTCAGACAGCTAGATCTGAACCCAGGGCTTCCTGCCTCCAGGCCGAGCAGTTTACCCATCGCACCAGCAATGATCTAGTTAAGAAGTGCTACACACTGTTTACTTAGTAGAAACGAAGACCTCTCCTTGAAGTCTGGCCCCTTCAGGGGACAGGCGGTCGAGCCAGCAGCCCCGGCTGAGCGAGGAGTAGCGTGCCAGGAGAACAAACAGCCTCGGACTCGCCAACCAGTGCAAAACCATGCATGATGGACAGTCAGGAGGACCTGAGTTCAAGTTCAACCTCAGACAACTGACAATAACTAGCTGTGTAACCCTGGGCAAGTCACTTAATCCCGACTGCCTCACCGAAAAAGCCAAAAAAAAAAAAAAAAAACCCAAACAAACCATGGAATCAGATCTTTGCTAAGAAGCGCCTGGCACACAGTAGGCCCTTGCTTACAGATTACCGACTGGCTGACGAGAGCCCGTTAAGCAGGACTTTTCAGCAGAATGCACCCAGCAGTTCTCCATCTAACAGCACAGACTGTACCCTGTCCCTGGATATCCTGAAGGTGAACTCTTCTTAATGGTCCCAACAAGACCAGGCCTGGGGATTCCTCCATCAGCCACGGCTCAAGGTGGCTGGCTCTGGGTGGAGCCAGCCGCAGGAGCGCGTGTGCCAGGGACCGGTAGGGACCTGGACAGAAAGACTGGCACTCACCGAGCCTCGAAGAAATAAAACGGGGACCCCAATTCCAAACTTCTCTCCTAAGTCACGCACGGCAGACAGCAGCTTGTAAGCCTGTGGTCCCAGGTCCTGCAGGTGCTCCTCGGAGTCAACGCTGGACTGAGGGTCCTTCATTCTGAAGACACAGACACTGTGGGTGAGTTCACACCTCCGGCAGGGCCGCCAAGAGCAAACGAGATTCAGGCAGAGTCAGGGAGGACAAGAGAACTGCAACAGGTGGCAGGGAACGTGGCGGCACACGGCATGGGCAAGCGGAGGACCACGGCGGTGAGGATGAGGATGCTAAGTGGGAGGCCTGCAGAGCCCCTGCACACAACCCCCATCCCCTTTTTGGATGATAAAACTAAGGCTGTGGAACGGCGGGTGACTGGCCTGGGCTGAGGGGCACCGGAAGGCAGGTCAAGCAGCTGGAGAACATTATCTCATCTGATCCTCACAAGATTCAGCGAAATAGGGGCTGAGAGCCTTCCCATTTTACAGAGAAGGAAACTGAGGCTAAGGTCACACACAACCTCACAAGGTTATGAGTCGGGATCTGAACTTGGGCCAGCTTCTGCATCCCCACGAGCTTGCCTGCAGCACCACCCCATGGCCTCCCAGGAGACACGACCACTCCTGATGCACCCCCAATCCCCCTAACTCCCGCCTGGCACCAGCGAGGCTTTCATGAGAGGGCCAAGAGTTCAAGTCGCCTCATTCAGAGAAAAGTGCCCAAGCTGAGCCAGGCTTCTACGGCAGCTGCGGCGTCCTGGAGTGCCATCAACAGAGACTGCTCTCACTCCTACAACTCTACCCACAGCATTTGAACTCATGCATAAATAGGCTGCCAGGAGAAAACATGCCTGCCTGGCAGGGATGGGAGCGATGGGCGGGCGAGGAGCTCTGTGGGGCCTCCCTGGTTTTGATGAACTGCTACCTCCCCCCTCCCTTTGGTACAAGGGGCAGCTCTCTCGGGAGCAAAACGGGTGTGTTTGTAAATGAAGATGAAAACCAAAGAAAGTTAAAACTATAAAGCAAACACCCCTTTCCAACAATTCCCATTCCTGTGGGTGGGGGTCCTTGCTCAAGGCAGGTCACCCTCTGCTCGGCCTCCAGCTCCTTTCCCTTCCAGATAGGCGGCAATGTGAGCCCTAGCACTGCCTCCCACCCCAGAAGGCTGAGGCTGGTAAGTGGAGACCAAGCACTGCTCTCCACCTCCTCAGTGTCACTGGGAAGTCAGCTCCTCCCTTTAGGTCAGTTTTCTCATCTGTTAAATAGAAGGATCCAGTGCCCTGTGTTCTTAGGTCCCTTCCTGTATGCTGCTAAGACAGCACAAAGAACAGCCACTGTCACATTATGCAACATAAGGTTGCCTGGAAAAGTCCATGGGAGATTCTGAATTGCACCGAAGGCCACCGGAGTCTGATGGCCAACTTTCTGAGAGACGGAAGGGCAGGCAGAAGCAAGGCCACGCAGGCCAGCTCTACAAGCACCACGCTGCCTCTGTGACGGGCTTTTTTAAAGCAGGCCGTTTCAGGTTCCAGTCACCCTCCTCTCGATCTGCGATGTACATGAAAACATTCTCTCACAGCTGGTGTTTGTGAAGACTCGAATGTTTTCTCCAAAGTGAAAGAGCTTAGGAAGGAGAATCTGGGTTTTCAAATCACAAGCATTGATACACCACCCTAAAGTTTGCAAAGCATATTCTGTCACTGCATCTGTGTTTTCTAGTGCTACGTTTGCTTAGTTTGAGCTTGAGGAGGTTAGATATTTCTTAAGGAAATGAAAATTAACACTTTGCTAAAGAAATCCGGCCTGGCAAACAGCAATCCCAACGGCTCCTTTCTTACTGGGTGAGTGCTCACCTGGCCTGACAGTTGTCACAGCACTGCTCTGTTCCCATGATGCCCAAGGAGGCCTTTCGGAGCTGTCTGTCTTCAAAATGAGACAAGATGATTCTACCCAAGAGGAAATGGAAAATTCAATGAATGACCCAAACTGACATGTCGAATTCCTGACTAAAAATGAGGAGAAATCATGGCTGATTGACTCACAGGGGATGTCATTACTGGGCTCTGATTCACTCAGAAACCACAAACTCTGATACAGACACAGAACCCCAACCACAATCCCACTGATTCAGGGCGGCGGTGAGGCTCTCCCCACCTCCGCGTGCATTCAGGGTTAGGGTCAGCGTTACCCTACCCACTTACTTCCGCCGGCATTTGCTGGACTGAAGATACTTCTCTAATTTTCTCATCATCTTCAGTTTGTACCGCCGAAAGTCAGCATTCTGGATGTCACTAACGAGGCGCCTGTAGGTTAGAAATAAAGGGTGAGGACAAAAGAATGAAACGTGAACGTCACTTTCCAGTGACTGGCATATTCTATTTGGAGGAAAAAGACAGTTCCTTTCAAAGTGCCCACCAAACAATAATCACCACATCTGGCTGGCAAACTATATCGAGTTATGAAGTACAGCCTTCGTTCTATTTTTATCATTAATTATGCCATCACCTGAAATGGGTTTCCTTCTTTGGGGGGGGGGAGGGCAGGGAGGAGGCAATTGGGGTTAAGTGACTTGCCCAAGATCACACAGCCATTAAATAGCTGGGGCTATATCTGAACTCAAGTCCTCCTGACTCCAGGGCCAGTGCTCCACCCACTGCACCACCAAGCTGCCCCACGGGCTTCCTTTTGTAAGCCATCTCTGCTCCTTCAGGAAAAATCCACCCCCCCCACCACACACACACCCCACTCTTTACCTGTTGATGGTGATGTCCGCAGAGGCCCAGAGCACATGGCAAGCACTGGGCAGGCCGTCGCGGCCAGCCCTGCCCATCTCCTGGTAGTAAGACTCCATTCCCTTGGGAGCACCATAGTGGATGACTTTACGGATGTCAGCTTTGTTAATCCCCATGCCAAAGGCGACTGTTGCTATGACACACTGAGAACAAGAGTAGCATGGCAGTTAGTTTAATGCTGTTAATGTTACACGGCAGGCTTCCGGGTTAACGTGTTCGTGAGCAGAGCCAGAAGGGTTGATATTAAACCCAAAAGCAGCCACGTAAACTCCCTGCCTCGTGTCTAGGTGAGTTTCCATCCAACAGATGGCTCAAAGCCCAAACTGGAGGCTCTCTCCCTGGCCCTCAGCCCGCGTCAGGTGGGCAGGTAGAAGACTCCCCGTGAACACAGATGAGCACCGCCCGCACGCCACCTATTCACTGGCCTGAATCAAACATGGCTCTAGAGATGAATCTATGCCCATCAGGAGCTAGAATTAAGCTCATTAAGAGGCAGTATGACCTGAGTTGTCCCTAGGACAGCCCTACTAGGCAATGACATGAGGTAGGAGAAGGAGGAGGAAAAAAAACTATCCAAGGGAAAAGATGAATGAACAAGGTGGGCCAAAAATATGCACCTGAGATGGGGAGAGGATCTAGAAAAAGTGCCAGGAGCCACATGTGACTTCTCTGGGCAAAGGCCCATGAGGACTCACACTACACTTACTGCAGGCTGCAGTAGTGTTAGACAATTGCGGGATAAACACTAGAGAGCGCCACCAGAGGATGGACAAATGGCTTTTATGTGAATTTTCTCTTTTCTTTTTCTTAAACCAAATGCATTTTACATTAACATCTAAGTGCTGAGTCCTCAGGGTGCTGTCTTCAGAAAAGGATGCAATTTACTTCAAACACATGTGGCCAGCATCTCCTACCCCAGGACCCTGGGGCCTTTCCCCTCATCAGAAGGGGAGCTCCCAGAGAGCAGAGATTGTCTGCCTTTCCTCTTTGGCACCCAAGTTCTGGGACTTGGCACGTCGCGTTCAATGAAGGCTTTTTAATTCACCCTCGGGCACTGTTATAGCTCTCACTTCAATAAACATAACCATAAGCAAACTGATCACTGTCCTGATCACTGTCAGATTTCCGCTGCAGGTAACAAACACGCACACAAAATGCAGAAATGCAAACAGCAGCAAGAACAGAAGATATTATTTTAAACAAAGTAGAGCTACAGATCAAAGGTGGATAAAAACAACTGAGTCGAGTTACGTTAATAAAAGATGAGTTAATATAATCTTTCTAAAACTAGACTTTGAGCACCTCCGGCTCCTCTCTGGCTCTGTTAGAGCAATAGAAGCTAAATGACAAAGAAAACTCTGAGAGGCAAGCTCCAGAGGAGGCAACAGGAGGGTGAATATCCCTTGACAAAGAGCCAAAGTCATGATGGCCCAACAGCACTTCACTCAGAGCTCAGCAAGCCCCAGAGGAGCAGGCAGCCCGCCAGCTCCACGGACAGGGGAAGAGAATCCTCTGCCCAAACAAGGAGGGACCCCAGCACTCAACAGTGTTCCCCTGTCCCCAGGAGCCAATTCTGCTTTCATCCATTTCTAAGACCCAGAAGGGCTTCACCAAGAGATCCAGGGAAGGCTGGATACCTGCTGTCCAAGGGCCTGCCTCACCAACCTCAGCCCCTAGGGTTCCTCTCCAGGGGGGCTGGCCTGGAGGAATTCTTCCACCACAGCAGCTCCCCAAATCCTTCTTTATTTCAGAGGGGTTTCAATCTGCAATGGAGGAAGAGTAACTCTCCTGTTGAAGTGACAAGTCCTTCAAGCAAGAAACCACCAGCAAGTCCAGCACCTAAGTCCTGGAGGAGAACAACGGAAGCCCCGAGCCCCCACACGGAAGGGAGCCATCATGGAGGCAGGAATTATCTGCAGACCCATCCAGGAGAGAAATGAACTGCGTGTTGGGCCCAAATACCAGAACCTCAGCGACACTCAACCCCATCCCACGACATCCTGGAGTGCCAAGAGCCAGCAAACACCCCAAACCTTCTCAACTAAGGAAGAAACTGAGGGCCAGAGACACCGAACCTTCCGCCCAAGGTCACTCAGTGTGTGGCCGCCACCTATCCTGGAGCCCGTGAGGGGCAAGCTGGGCCAAGAGGTACGAACACGTCATCAAAGCAGGCTTCAGTGAAATCGGGGTGCAGAACCTGGCACCCAGAGAAAGAAGGACACAGTGCGTACAACCACGGAAATACACAGAGTGGGCGGAAGACGGGGAGGCGGCTCCTCGGCCGGTGCTGCCATGGATCACGCGACGACAGCCAGTCCAAGAGGCTCCTGTCTCTGCTTCTTCCATGCGTTACCCAGACTTGCTGAGACCTTGCCTGTCAGAGGCAGGACCTCCAGCTGAAACTAGAGTCAGGTTTTCAAGACACTTCCTGCTGAAGCTCAGAGAGGACATAATACAGTCACTCAGGTGCTGACAGGGAGGTTGGGGGCTCCTCTCCAGCCACTCCAAACCCCTTCTGAAGAGGAGATGTGAGCAAGAGCCGGACCTCGAGGCCAGGGGCTGCACGGAAAGAAAGGCAAGGCTGACCACCCTGACCACCCCCGGTTAGGAGGCCACACCCTCTCTAGGAGGGACGGCAGTGGCGGTCTGGAAGGTTATACCAGGCAGCTGGCAAGAAGATGGCCACTGGCAAAGAACTGGAAACAGAGGGGATGCCAAGGGAATCTGATCCCACGTGGGTGGAGTCCCACGGCACTACATAACAAATGACAAGACGGCGGATTTCAGGAAAAGCCGGAGAGACCTAAGTCTTGAACTGATGCAGAGTGAAGTGAGCAGAGCCAAGAGAACATCACAGACAGTGACAGCAACACTGCGCAATGGCCACTGTGATGGACTGAGCTCTTCTCAGTCATGCGATGCTCCAAGCCAATGCATGATGGAAAACGCTGTCCACACCCAGAGAAAGAACTGACGAAGCCTGGATGCAGATCAAACCATACTATTTCACTCTCTGTGGTTGTTTTTTCCCTTTTTTCTTTCTTCTCATACATGTGTGATATGGAAATAGGTTTTACATGACCGCACACATGTAACTTATCAAATTGCTTACCGTCTCCGGGAAGGAAAAAGTTTAGAACTCAAAATTTTATAAAAAAAGAATGATAAATTGTCTTTACATGTAATTGGAAAAAATAAAATGCTACTTAAAAGAAAAAAAAGAAGATGGCTCCTGAAATTCTGGGTGCCAGGAGGCACTTGCCAATGAGACTGGGGGGCCCAGGGCAGGAGGTCTAGGAGTGAAGAAAGGGTTAACACGGATCAAAGACCAACCACACCCCGAATTCAGAATTTAAGACCAAGAAACTTCTGTTCGGCTAAGTCCCAACCCAGAGGCTCAAGGCCAGAACCTGAAACTGAGAGAGGAGACGAAGCACAAAGATAGAATCAAGATTCTTTAAAAAATCTAAGTCAAGAGCAAGAGGAAAAGGTCACACTCGGCAAGGCACGAGCTAAAGGTCAGGCTGGACCAGCCCGAGTGAGCCGATGCTCTTCCTGCCTCTCCCTGAGAGAAGAGCCAGCCAAGGGCAGAGGCAGAGCCACGGAGTGAGAGCCCCCACAGACCCCACAGCTACGGAGACAAAAGGCTCCTTTAAACCGCCCAACGCCAAGAGGAGGCACAGGCGCTCCCTGCGGATGGGTGCCCCCACCACAGCCTGAGAGCAGCTGCCTTAGGGGCTACCCTGCTTCCTGCGCCCTGGGTAGACGGCTGGGCCAGTCCACTGGGGCCAGGGGGGGCCTGGGTCCCAACACTTTCTATAGTTTTGTTTTGTTTTTTTCAGTAAAAGGATGAGTTGAGCAAAGAACTAGGAAGGAAACCCTAAAAGCCAAGCCAACACACTCTAAAGCCCTGGCCCAAGAGCTCCTTCTCAGAATGGTTTAGCCCTGTGTCAGGCTTGGGACAGACAGAGGCGTGTAAGATAAGAGCCAACGTGGCGGGCTGAACTCAACAGGATACAAGGGGCCAGCACAGAGGGCAAGCCTCCTCGTACGAGGGTCCTTGCCTCTCCTCCGCTCCAGACAGAAAGGCAGCAGCGATGAGTAGACTGACCAGAGACCATGGGCCAGTCCAAGAATGGGCCGAACCAATTCCCAGGCTTCTCACCAAGCACTACTTCCTAGCTAAACCACATTGGAATTAGTAAAAAGCCTCACTCAAACACTGGAGATGATCGGAAAGGACGAGGTCAGCTGGAGCTCGAGTGACCAGAGGAGCTGCGTGTTACGTGCTTCCCCAGGAACAGGGTCCGGCCCACGCACCTGGATTTCATCATGCATGAATCGGTGCTGGATCTCTCGCCTCGACTTAATCGCCATGCCCGCGTGGTACGTCCCACAGGCCAAGTTCAGTTTCCGCAGCTCTGCAGTCACTTGTTCAGAGATCTTTCTAGTAGGGCAATAAATGATAGTGGGGCCTTCAAATTCCCGGGATGATCTGAAATAAAGGGAGAAAAAAATACAGGAATGGGGACGGACAGACACACAGAGACAGACAGACAGACAGACACACACACACACACACACACACACACACACAACCCCCCAGAAGACATTTGGATTAAAATTTAAAAAGAAGCCACAGAAGATACAGTGAAGTCACTCCTTGGCAACGGAAACCAAAGAACTTCCATTCACACCAACAATAACTATCACTTTAGCCAGGGAAATGAAATGATAGTCTTCGTTCTTGCTCAACCGCGAACCAAAGCTAACCCAAGTCACAGAAGTGCCACTCTGGGTTTTCCCACTCGCTGCCAGCAGGGAAGGTCCAAAGAGCAGGCAGCCAGAGAGCAGGAGAGCCCGGAGGACAAACACACGGGAGGAAGGCCCAAGCCCCAGGCCTGTGGCTCGCCGCTGCATGATCCAGGACCGCTCACTCCTTTCTGACCTCCAAAATGCAATGTAGACTCTTCTCCAACATCCCTCTGGCCCTAACTCTGGGCTCCACCAAGAACATTTGCAGAATGAATTAGTCAGTGGGTCGCTGGCCTCCGAGCGTTGTTCCATGGCAAGCTCAGACCCTGTTTCCTTAGTGGAGAAGAACTCCCAGCCCACGGCCGACTCAAGTCCAGCTCAATCGTTAATGACCCTTTCCCCAAAGCTTCCTAAGAAGCCAGAGGAGCAGAAGGCCCCCCCGAGTATCAGAAATCAGGCAATTCAGAGGACTCTGGCCACCAGGGCAAGTCAGGAATTTGCTGTCTTTGTTGTTACTTGTGCTTCATTCCCAAGAGGAGGTGTTGCCATGGTTTGCAAGGGAACTGGATTTAAGCGAGGCAGGGCAGTGGAAAGTCACCAGCCTCGCTTTCTCCTCTGGAGCCATCTGGGTCCAGTGGCCAGATAGCGATCAGGATGACTGGAGAGTGCCCTGGATGCAGTGGGAGAGCTTGGCCTTTTTAAGCTAAGGTTAGGTAAGAAATGAGGCAGAGAATGGCCTCTTTTACCTAGTCCAAAAAAAAAAATTAATCTGGGAAGAGAAGACCCTCGGGGTTTCTGGCCAAAACAGAAACAACTGCTATCTACATTTACTCTGAGCCAAACAGGGTTCAAACAATGACCAAATAAATGGGTCTTGGCCTGGGACCTACCATTGGCCAATCATGGAGAGCCAGAGTGATTTGGGTTTAAGATATTGTCTTTAAGAAAGAAATTTGTAATACAGAATCTAAAACACAGGGTAGCAAAGTGAGTAACTGGCTGCCACCACAGCCAGCGTGGCACGGAGACCCCAGAGGCAGAGGAGGCCATCCTGGCTCGGACAAGGGGACCAAGCAAACACTGGCCGTAGCATTTTACTTTGCCACCATGGCAACTACTTAATAGTCCCGCTAGGCTATGACCCCAACACAGAAAGAACCAGAAATGAGGTGACTACATGAGAACGGACAACTGAACAGAAAGCAAGCTAACACAAAGACAAGAAGAGTCTATGAAAAGACAGGCACACTGACACGTTGTTGGTAGAATTGCGAGCGTCCAGCTATTCTGCAAAGGGATTTGGAATGATGCTACAAAAATGAGTCAAATGTTCCCAGACTTTGACATAAACTCCATAGGGGTCAATGATAGGAAGCCCCCATATCCACCAACATCTTTGTAGCAGCATTTTTTGTGGTTGGAAAGGACTGGAAACACAGCAGATGACCCCTGACCCCTGACTGTATAATGGAATAACAGTGCCTTCTGAGAAACAAGAAATGCCGAGGCAGATGGAGAAGTGAAAACACTTATGGGAATCGATGTAAAAGGAAGTCAGAAGAATCACACAGAGGACATCAACGCCCACCACCAGAGTGCAAGCTGACGCCTGAGTGAGCGTCGTGGCCGGGAAGGAAGAAGCAGAAGAGCCGGGAGACAGCCCCTCTCGTCAGGGCCTGACTGGCATGTGGCTCCACAGCACCCCAAGGACCCGCTGGCGAGTGGCTTCCTGCCCCACCCCCCTTGCCAGGGACAGGCTGCGGAGGGGTTGGGCAGGACCAATTAATAAGGTACAAGAGCCCGTCTCCCAGCACGCCTGCGGAACCCAACAAGCCAACAGCTACTCACTCTGTCTTCTTCACAAGAAACCTGTCCAGATCCTGAAGGATATTGCCCGTCTTCCGCCCAACATCCAGGTAGAGGTTGGGCCGGTCAAAGCTGGTGCAGGTGACCTGAGGGTTCTGCAGGTTGAGGCAGTGCACAATGTCTGCTCGGATGGAGGAGCTCGCTGTCGCCGTCAGCGCCAGCACAGGCACCTGAGGGGGACACAGATGGGACCCAGATACATCCATCTGCCCCCTACTGACGAGCTCAGGGAGGAGGCCAGAGGGAGGAAGGTGGAGCGGGGGTGGGGGGCCCCCAACAAAGAAAGTGAAAAAGAGAAAAGAGGCGGGGAGAAGCCAGGACAGAGCCATGGGCTCCACCCACAGGTACGCTCTGAATGATGAACCATCAGACAGTCAGGAGGAAAAGGAGACAGGAGTGAGTGTCACGCCAACCCAGAGAGTAGAGGTCGGGGGTCAGTAATGTCAAATGCAGCAAAGAAGTCAAGAAGAATGAGGTCATTAGATCTGACACTCAAGAGATCATTAATGCTACTTTGCAACTCAAGACTCATTCCCTATTTGCCTTTCATGGGAACTGAGTCCCAGTGCTGCCCCGGCCCCAGCTGACGGCAGCCCTTGTGATTAAGTTAAAATCCACAGTATGCCTGCCTGTTCAACCACCATCTAGCTCAACGGCCAAACTCCCCAGTGACCAAAGACAACAATTCCTGAGAAAGTATTAAGGGCGAGAGAAAAGTTAATCCACACCCCAGCCCAGGCCCACCCTTCCTGTTCTCGGGCAGGAATGACCCTTTCCATTCGCCAGGCTGAGAGTGGCTCACCGTCGGCAAGGCATTCTTCAAGGCACCCAAGCTTCGGAATGAATTTCTGAAGTCATGCCCCCACTCCGACACACAGTGGGCCTCGTCCACAGCGATCAAGGTGATCCCTAGGGAGAGGAAGAAACTCACCAATAAAGGAACCTCAACAAGCAGCAGGCCAGCCCTCAACACTCACTCAGCAGGATTGGTGTCTCAGTGACCGAATGCTACAGTTAGAATAAAGAGACAGTTCAAGCCTGAGCCATTTCAGATAAAGCCAAATCACTACTGCAGAGGAGAGGAAAACAAAAGGAGACACTTCCTCCAGGACGCAGATTTCATCCCTTCATGCTCTGCACACGCCATGCTGGCCTTAAATTCCCTCGATGGAGATGCTGCCGCCATTTGGACGGGCTGTTGCGGGGCAGGTGTCCCTACCAGGCCCCACCACGTGGCCCAAGAGCGCCCTCCTCCAGAGGCAGCCGACGGGTCCGAGAAACGAACGAGCAGCATCCCTGGTGGGGCACGCGGCCGGGTGCCAGAGCCCAGCTGGGGAGCGCCCGCAAAGCAGGTGGGGAGGAGCGCTGCTGCGCAGTCCCCCAACATGGACTCCAGCGCCTCAGGAGGCTCAACCTGAACACATTTCTACACACTTTTTTTTTTTGCTACTTCCTCTACAACACTTGGGGAAACTTCAATAACTTAAGATACTATTAAAATTGTAAATGAATGAAAAGTCGGAGCAATGCCCATGAACATTCTGAAGGCATTCATTTTCACAGCACTAACACTTCCGAAGTAATTTTCCTGGGCCATACTCTTGTTCAATATTAAGCACTTAGTGAAAGCGTTTTACAAACTTTCAATGCACAAATACCAGGCTCTCTTACTAGTCATGTGCATAAAGCAATCACTTAACAAAAACACAGATGAAATCACAGATCTGGTGAGCGCTGGACTACTGGAGTGAGGAGATAAGTTACACCCAGAAAACCATCAACCACCCAGGAGCCAGCAAATGGGGTAGAAGGAAGCAAGGGTGACCGGGGCCCTGGTACAAACCGGGCAGCCAATCTCCCTCTGGGTCCATTTTCTCGTCTATAAAATGGGAACAATAACAGCCCTTGCCCAATCAGCCTCCAAGCCCACAAGCGCCACATGACCACGTGCCCTGCTGGGCAGACCTCTCTTGGCATCTAGAATTCCTCTGGCAAGTGACCGCAAGATGACAAAGCATGGAGAGATCTGCATCTGGACTGCTCGTGGCCAGAGAGACCCTGGGCTAATTATTCAGCCTCTTGAACCTCAGTTTCCTCATCTGTAAAATGAGTGGGCTGAACTAGCCAACACCTGAGGGTCCTGCCACCTCCTGGTCTAAGGCCTCACGATCACAGAAAAAAATCAACAGAGAAAACTTTCATAAAGTCTGGAGAATATCGCATCTGACTGCCTGCCATCATCAGCGTACTTAAGTATGGAAACTAACAAGAAGGAGGCTTGACCAAGAAGGTTTGTTGGAAACTTGACCCAAAATACCCCAAAAAAGGGGAAAAAAAGAGAAAACCGCAGCCTTCAAAAGAGCATCCAGAGACATCGGCTTTTGAACAACTTTATCCACACAAAGAATCCACTTCTCAGAAACGTGGAGGTCCTGTCGGCCTTTGGTGTTCATTGTGAGGTACACCTGAGAACTATGACCATCTGAACTACCTACGGGCCAGTCCTCACCTCCCCGGCCCCGGAGGCCCCGAGTCCCCCACGCAGGGAGAGGCGGGCCCAGAGCTCACGAGCTGCCAAAGCTCCCCCAGCGCACAGGCCGCCACCTCTGCCACTTACCCAGGTCAGCGTTGAGCCGTGTCAGCAGGTCCAAGCTGGCCAGGCAGAATTCGGGGGTGATGTACACAACCCTGTACTCTCCCCTGTGACAGAAGAGAGGAAGGCAGAGTGAGAAGCTGGCAGGCCGAGCCCCGAAACATTCGCCTATGATCACCGTGCTGGATTCGTTAAGGTACCATGGGGAACCGGACCCCTCACTCTTGATGCTAGTTGTCAAAAAAGCTCACTGAGGATCTGAGAATGCCTGCACCCTCGGGCCACAGCGACAGCTCCTGGTCTGAGGAGCGGCAGACAAAGGAAGCAGAGCTGTGGGGGTGGGCTCGGGGGCCCTTGGGCAGAACAGAAGCTAAGCAGAGAGCGTGCCAAGGTCTGACTGACCGTGCTCAGAAAAGAGAGCCATGCCCTTAGGAGACGCCCCACGGACCACAGATCAGAACCGGTCTGGGTGCTCTGCCTTTCTCAATGGGCATGGGAAGGGGGTGGGGAGGGAGAGAATTTGGAATTGAAACTGAAATTAAACATAGAAAAAGCAAAATAAAGTCCCCCACAAGTTTAGAGTAGTGATGTGGACAGCCACCACAGGAAGCCGGGCAGGTAATACACTTCCCCCGCCCCACGCCCCGGGGACCAAGAATCGAGGAGCCAGGGAGGAACCAGGAGACAGCCGGACATCAGCCACAAGGGAAGAAATCAGGCCTCAGAGATCACAGCCTTTGACTTCTGGGTCCCAGAGCTGCTTCTCTCAACAGCAGCCCATTATAGAGAGGTGACCGAGAGGCAGTCCTGGCCCTGCCCACAACACCACCCAGCCCACGGGCACGGCTGGTCGGGCTCAGGGAGGGCCAGATGAAGAAGCTGGCCCAGGGCTGAGGCCTGGCTCTAAGCGAGGGTCAGAGCCAGGCCTCATTCTGGGCGGGTCTGTGCTCCAGCTGGGTTTCTGCTAGTGCCCTGGAACACGTGCCTACGGACATGTCCGGGTGGCCCCCATCTCAAGAAGGTGGGAAGGGCTGGGGGGATGCAGGTAACTCCCGGGGCAGCATGAGGTAAGAATGGAGGGAGTGACGAGGAATGACAAGCATGGGAAGAGGCTCCCAAGTCGGGAGCAGGAAGAGAACAAGAGGAAGGCAAGGGGGAGCGACAAGTGACCTCCCTCCCCGGACAATGTCAATATGCCTGCCTTCAGGTGAGTACCACACAGCAATCCTTAGGAGGAAGAGGAGGCCTGCGGAGGTAAACCCCCACCCAAGGCACTGTGGCAACTCTCTGCCAGCCTGGCCTGGCAAGCCAAGTGAGGGGCTGGCTGTCTTCCAGGGTACGATCTCCAGACAGACTGAGAGCTCCCAAGAGTGACCCGACCTGTGATCACTCTCCACTTCCAGTGCCTGAGGAAGGCAGGACGACAGCCCCGGAAGGAGCCTGGAGAGTGCACTGCCAAGGGTCACAAAGTCCTGGGCAAAACCCCGAGGGCTCCAGCACACAGGACATGCTTCATCCCTACAAATGCCTGAAGTCAGAGGAGTCAGAGAGGCCAGGCCAGTCGGGGAGGAGCCACAGCCGACTGAAAATGGCAGGGCCCACGGGACGGTGTCTAAACTCAGCCCGTGGCTGAAAATCGAGGAATGAGGCTGTCCTTGGCAGGGAGAGCCTCAGCAACACGGAGCAAGAAGAATAAAAGGCAGTCAGCAAAACAAGCAGGAAACCAAATCCAGAAACGCGGTCCTCCACAGCGAGTGCCTTGTCCATAGCAGACATCCTGCAAAGACCTGCAGCATCCACATACAAATGCACAGAGACTGAGTAATTCAGCAGGTAAGAAAGAGACCCACATGCTAGGAGGGACCAGGGAGCTGGAGGAAGTCTCTGACAACAGACATGCTACTCCAAAGCAGCAAAAGCAAAGAGACTGAGAAACAGCACTAACCCCACAGGGGTATTCCCTGAGAGTAAGGCCAGGTGTCCGCGGCCAGGACCGCTGGCTCACACCGGCCCCACTCCCCACCACCCCTCCCTGCCCAGAGCTGTGCACGCAGTAGGAGCTCCACGGCCACTCCAGTCGCTGCACTAACTACTCTTTCCCATCCTTCTGTTCCCTTTACCCTTCAGGCACCCGTCCCCTTTTGGCTTTGTTTTGTAAGTTAGTGAAAACCTATCTCGATGAGGAACATCACACATTTTCCCCCTCCCCCACCAAGGACTTCTCCAATGGTTCACGAGTGACAGGAAGGCTCTATCACTCGTGACCAGCATCCTCCCCCTCCCCCCGTAATGGCTGGGAGCACAGTTAAGTGGAGCCCACGCTGGACAAGAAGTCTGCAGACGTCCCTTCTTAGGCAGGATTCTGTGAGTGCGATAGAATGAGGCTGGCCTGATGTCTTGAGAGGAAATATCATAAATAACAAAACCTTTAAGAATTCAGAGATATGCTAACATACTAATGAGGAAAACCACACAGAGACACCATGGTCCTTCCCTGAGCAGCTCTTGGTCCACCACAATGCAGTGCCCTGGCACCCCATAGGCTGCCAGGTTTCAACAGCTCAGCCCCAAGCCAAGAAGGCCTCAGGGATGGTCTAGGTTCAGCCAGGGCTCACCATGCCAGCCCCAGCTCCAGAGGGGCTCAGCCTGTGCCTGAAAGCAGGGGGAAGCATAAAGAGCCCGTCCTAAGGGAGGGGAACACGGGGACAGCAGGAGGACCAGAGCACGGCCATCAGTGCAGCCCACCTCCCACAGACGGGACCCTTCAAAGGTTACAGAGATTCTGTTCCCGTCGTACAGGAACACAGAATGCACACCGCCTGAATTTTTCAAACAAAGAAGTTAATAACAGAAAACGGGCTGCTTACGCTTTAACACGACTGATGACATCTTCTGACTGAGCTGATCCGAGGAAACAGGCTTTAACGTTGGACATTCTGAAAGAAGAAAATTCCGAGTTGATGTTCAAGGAGGCTCTCGGGGGGCTCCTTCCTTTGGAGGGGCCCAAGAGAGAAAATGGAACCCATGACGTGTGAACTGCTCATTCACTCTCAATCAGACATTCTCCATGGGTTTTTCCTGGACCAGTCACTGAGAGAGGTCCTGGGCCTACCGAGACAGAGGGAGACAGTCTGTGCCGCCAGACCGGGCACACAACAGGTACAGCGCCTAAGACAGTACAAGGCGTTCTCCAAAGGGACAAAATACTAACCATCGGGAGTAATGGGGAGGGTCAGGGAAGAGATCACAGCAGATGGGGCCCCTGAGCCCACTAGGAGACACAAAAGGATTCTCAACAACTGCAAAGAGGACGGAGACATTCCAGGGAGGGAGACGGCCTGGCTCCATGCATGGAGATAGGAGAGGGAATGGTAGTGAGACACAGGAAGAGGCCAGCAGTCCCGTGTGGCTGCAACCCATCGACCAAGTGAGTAACTGAGAGTAAGGCCGTCTAAGCCCTAAAGGCCAAGGTAAGGAGCTTGCATTTTATGAGAGAGGGGATCAGGAGCCCCAGAAAGTCTGCAGTCAGGGGAGTCACATGGTCAGATCTATGGCTCAGGAAGATTATTTTGGCAGTTGTCTGAAAAATGGACTCCAGAGATGAGTCACTTAGACAAAAGCATCAATCACTAAGCTCTTACAACAGATGGAGGGAGAGGAGATGAGAAAGTGAAGGAGAATTTCAGCCCTGTGAGTGGAAAGGAGGGAGATGAGGGAAGGGGCCCTCTGGATGCCGGAGTACGAAAGAGGCAAGATCAAGAATGGCCTGGATGGCCTAGAAGATGGTCAGACTCCGGAGAAATGAAACTGTGGAGGGGAGGCAGGATTACTCCACTTTGAACCTGGAGCAACTGTGGTGCTGAGAGGACAGAGAGGATGGGGGCTCAGGAGAGAAGCCAGGGCTACAGTTTTAAGTCTGGGTCCTCTGCATAGGGATGATGTGGAAGCAGGCGAGGTCACCAGGTAAGCCATCACTCAGCGAGAACAGGAAAACAGGCCAAGGCCCAGCGGAAGACTCGGTGAGAGCACAAAGCAGTCTAAGGACCATCTAAGGACCGTCGAGGGCCAGGGAAAAGAGAGGAGCCAACAGTCAGTAGCGTCCAAAGCTACAGCAATATCATGCAGGACAAGGCCCGAGAAAAGGCCACTGGATTGAGCAGCTGGGCGTCAGGGATTTTGAGGCCTTTGAGAGAGCGCTTTCAGGAAAGTGATGGGGTCAAGAAGTCAGCTTGCAAGGGGCTGGTTGGTTTTGGGGGTTTATTTCCATCTTACACTGGAGCCTCCCACCCCCTTCCCAAAAAAGATCTCTGAGTTACAAGACAGACCAAAAACAGTAGGGAGGGAGGGTGCTTAATTAGGAGTGATATAATCACTCCATTCAAAAAGAACACATTCTTAAAATGACACATTTTAAAATGTCACAGTTCACCTAAAAATAAGTCTTTTTAAAAATGTACGACAGTCTAGCAGAGCGGAATAAATGGTCTGTGCAGGCAGGGGCTGCTTAGGCAATCAATTCTGCATCTGCAGCACCTTGCACTGGGCCTGGAGCCCAGGATGGGTGCAGTAACGCTTCCTGAAATGCCACAATCCTGCTCCTAAGCCACCCAAGGGGAAGGCCCGGAGCAGGATGGCAGATGTCTCCTTCTCCGTCTTTGCTGGTTCTCTGACTGCCTCTGTTCCCTGCTATGTCCATGAAGACACAAAGGAACACGAACACACATTCTCTTCAGACGGGCTTTGACAGAAAGAACGCAAAGCCACTTACCCAGGATGATATTTTCCCCTTTCAAAAACTTCCTACAGTGAACACTCATTCTCTATCCAACTAAAGTACAAAGGAAAAGGCCAGTGAGAAAGAAGAAAACCTAACACATACTTACAACAGTTCTTACAACACATTTGACACATGACTAGGACAGATGCAATGACCAGATACTCCTTAAAGATGCCCTAAGGTACAGGGCCTGGGGAAGCACAGAGACCCTGTCCACACCAGTACGGTCATGCTACCATAAATGGAGAGCAATGCCCTTTCTGAAAGGTCTAGCCAGAGCCCAGATCTGAAGGACGACTCACTCTATTCAGATGCTTCATTCCTGAAGAAAACGGAATTTCAGAAGGGCAGTAAGACAAGGCCACTGACCCCCGACCTCCAACTTACTTGAGCTGAAGCACCTGGTCTTCCATCAGAGAAATCAGAGGAGAGACAACGATGCCGATTCCACCGACAAACACGGGAGGGAACTGGAAGCACAAACTCTTGCCGTACCCTTCCGGTGAAAAGGCGACAACACGACAGATGAGGACCCCGACCCCCGATCCAGCACTCCCTACACACGGGCTAAGGCAGCCTCTTCACAGGCACGTGGGCCTACCCTTCCCCATCCCTCAGAGCAGCCACCATGGTCTGTCTCTGAGCATCCAAGTCTAAAGACTCAATAAGGGAGGGGCTCTTAACCACACTACAGTTTCAACTAAAAATATAAATTTAAGGGGTGGCTAGGTGGCGCAGTGGATAGAGCACCGGCCCTGGAGTCAAGAGGACTTGAGTTCAAATCCAGCCTGATACATAACACTTACTAGCTGTGTGACTCTGGGCAAGTCACTCATATATACGTGTATATATACATAAAATTAATACAGATACACTGTTTAGCATGACATACCAGTAGCCATAACTACCACATTATCTCTTCTTTCTTCTAAAACAGAATGGATCACTTTCCACTGCATCCTAGCAAGGGAGGGAAAAAATGGGGAAAGCAGACATTAATTAACTGATACGAAACATCAGGGAACCACTTCACACCCAGGCCACTTCTCATCATTCCCACATCTGTCTTCAAAGCCCCTTGCTGGTACTGTCTAATAATGGCCGGCCCGTTCGGCTAAGCAATTATACCCAAGCAAGATTCATCATCAGGAGACTTTCTCATTGAAACACCTTTTTATTTGATTGGCATGGAACAAAAATTTGACTCAAGACAATCGGGTGTCCAGCAGAAAACAGGCGGAGCTTAGGGAAGAAGGCCTGAGGAGCCTGGGGCACAGGTTAGAATTGATTGGAGGGGAGCAGAAGAGCCTCCATCTGCTGCCTGGAGAATTCACGGAGGGGCCGCCTCCTCGGGAGCTCTCCCCAAAGGCAAAGATTGAGCCCAGCAGACCACTCGATCCCTAACCGCAGGGTAAACTTTAGTGCAGTATGGAGTGGAGCAGCAGAGAGAAGCCAATGAATCGAATGTATTTGACAAGAAACATCTGAATGTGCTCTAAGGTGATGAGCCATCCCACACTATGGGAAGAGCAGCCCGACAGGAAAGACGAGGGCAAAGCTAAATGAGGCAGAGCTGCTGCTCCCTGAGCCCAGAGGCACAGAGCAGGACACGCTCTCTAACCTGCCCTCACTCCACGGAGCCCCTAGACCCCGAAGGCCAACCCTCACGTGGTCCTTCCCCACAGTGTGGCTACAGTCAGTGTATCCTCCCCAATGGCAGGCACATGCACACACACAGGCAGGGGTGTGTGTGAGTGTGCACATGCGTGTGTGTGTGTGTGTTTGTGTGGGGGGGGCGGTGTTTACTGGCTTAGGATGACAGAATATCAGGTTCAGAGCTGGGCTCATCAAATCCAATGCCCTCAATTTACAGAAGAGGGAAACTAAGGCCCAGGTTTATCATATGGCTAGCGAGTGTCTGAAGTAAATTTGAACTCAGGTCTTCCTGACTCCAAGCCCAATGATCTCCCCACTACTCCAAGCTGCCTCGGCAGCAGACAGTCAATAGCCATTTGTTGAACATAAAGGGACTGAAATTATCTCTCTATTCAAATTAGCATCTGTGAATGCCCCATCTTCTTATCAGTGATGACTGAAATTTCTGAAATCCAACTACACCAGAAAACATCACTGGTAGGGAGGCAGCCCCAGGAAATGAGACAAATTGTGGCTTTATAACCACGATGAAGGTTTTCTCTCTGCATTTTTCCTCATTAAGAAAAAGAGTAAGTCACTCAGTTAAGTAACAACATACTCACGGTTTAAAGTTGGAATGTCCAAAGTAGGTCTTTAGGCAAATGATTTGCTCTGCAGTAGGTGTCGGCAGCGAAGGGTCTTAAAACAAAATATTTGAATTTAAGTACAAACAGAAGAATATTTTAAGGTAAGGGGATGAAATAAATCCATTCTCCCTGCTTCAAATCCCCCTTCCCTCTGGACCTTATACTCTTCCCAAGTGGCAGCCAGATGACTTCATCAGACGCTATTCAGATCACGCGACTCTGACCCAAAGTCTTCAGCCGCTCGCCAGCGCCTTCAGCTCAAAGTCACAATGTCCCATGGGCCCGTCCACTCTCCAGGCTTCCTTCCCGCTGCTCCGCCCCCCACCACACCTTCCTCAGTCCCGCCGGAGACCTCCAACCACCCTACACTGGCCAAACCCTCGAGGCTCCCTTGCCGTCCCTCTCCAGACCCAAAGATGGCCCAGCATCTGACACAGGTCCAGGTCTATGCTTGCACTGAGTGATGCTCCCCCCTCCTCAGACTGTTCCCACTCGCCATCTCCCTCCTCCCAGTAGGTAACAAAGCCTAGGCCCTGACGGATGAGCTGGCACTATCCCTCCATTTCAGTACAGGAAGAAGCCAGGGCCCAGAGAGCTCAGACAGATGCCAAGGCATGAAGCAAAGAGGGGCCTCACACCAAAGAAGGGGCTGCTCCGTCCTTCCTTCTGGGTGGCTTGTCACCCAACTTGACAAGACGCTCACACCTTGGGACTCGCTGGATGCCCAGAGCAGACACGCGCTTGAGGCCTGGTTCCCAGCCAGGCCGGCCTGGGTATCCCGCACAGGGCTCAGACCAAGCATCGCCTGTCTCATATGTCCCACATAGGAAAACAATCTGACAGACCCCTGGATTTCATCCCCCTACCCCCTCAGCTCACGGGCACAATAGGCCCACCAAACTGAATTAGGGAAGGCTTCCCAACGAGAATTCCAAGATGGTAAAGCTGCCACAGACCTGAGAAATACCTAGTGCGATTCCTTTACGGATGACGGACCAGGGTCCCAGAAAGGGGAAGCAACCGGCCCCAGGTCACACACAGGGCAAGGGGGAGAGTGGGAGTCAAGGCCAGGTCCAGGACGGTGGAGCCAGCCCTGGTGCTTCCCACACGTCTAGTGTGAAAAAGAGCTCTCGCTTCATTCCATCCAGTCACAAAGTCCTGGAATGCAAAAACTCCCTCACTCCCTCTTTACAACACATCCGACATGGCTGAGAAACGGGCATGAAACCTTTCCTTTGACTGAGATCAGGAAGACAAGAATGCTGGGTCACGTCTTGATCACCACACTCTCTTAATGGCCTTGGAGACAGGGATAATATCGGGACTGCCTGGCTCACAAGGTGCTGCGGAAGGCAGGGGCCAACTCTACAAGCACTACGGAAGGTGATTTGCCCCCCACCATCCACCTTGTAAAAAAAAAAGTTCTCCTTAATGTAGGCTGACTAGATTTTACATCAGGAGAGCCTTCTATCCGCCTCTCAGACCATGAGAGAAAACTCAAGTATGGAGACCATCTAACTGCGCGTGCGCGCGTGCACACACACACACACAATCTAGAGCAGATATCAACAGTGACAACCCCATTCTCCTTTACCCCATTCATCGTCCTCTTCTTCAACAGCTTCCTCGTCCCCCTCATCGTCAGCAACCCTGGCCTTGCCTTCTGTTTCTGGCACATTCTGCTTCGACTTGTCACAGTCCAAGTCTTCTAATGACTGAAAAAGACAAAGCAAAGCCCGCCCCACGCCCACCTCGTTTCCATCCCCCATCAATAGGAGACTGCTCCAAGATGGTGCACGAGCCAGCCCTGATCCCACGGAGCCCTGGGGCTGTCCTCAAATCACAGGCTTCAGACCACCAAGAAGGAATGGTTTCCAACTACGATTAATACATCACATAAAAATCCCTGAGAAAGGAGTTAAAATACATTTTGTCTTCTAAGACTAAACTTTGCTTTTGATGAAACTTGGCAAAAATTTTGAGGGTTCCAATTTGTTTTTTTAAAATAAGTCACCACCTCAAAGAAGGACAAAATTGAAATGAAAATATTGTCATAAGAACACAGATGAAATGAGATATGGCTTCTCCTATGCCAGCTACTTCAATGGGCTGGTCTCCTCTCAGGAGCCTCTGAGAGGTGATCCTGCCTGTGTCATCAAAGACCCTTCACAACAACACCCATTCACTTTTCTACTACAATATCAGAACCAAAAACATACTTTAAGCATCTGCATTTCCAGATCTTCATCACTTTCAATAACATAAGAAAGATCATGAGCATCCATCACGGAAATTAGGTCCTGGGGAAAAAAATAAATAAATGATTCTCTGACTTGAATTTATAGCATTCTTTCTTTCCTCCTACAAAACCTATTTACTATTTGTTTTGTTTTGGGGGGCAATCGGGGATAAGTGACTTGCCCAGGGTCACCCAGCTAGTGTCTGAGGCCTCCTGATTCCAGGCCTGTGCTCTCTCCACCGTGCCCCCTCAGAGCCCCAAAACTCATTCACTGCTGACTCCACTTATCAAAAAAGAGTTATATAGCCTTGCTCCTTAACACAAGCACTCATCGCAGTGTCAGTGGAACAATAAGGAACTGATTCCTTCATTCAATAAACACACATTAAGCACCTACTATGTGCCACTGATAGGAATGGATCTGGATGAGGGATGTCACCGACAGGGGAAAACCCATCCGAGCAAAGCCCCTCGCCCCAACGGGGCTGAGGGCAGCTCGGCACCCTCCAGCCTGAGAACCCTGCCGGGAGCACTGTGAAGGAATTGAAGGGTTAGCGACCTGCCCTGCACCCCAGGGCCAGCACACGACGCTTCAGACCAGCTCTGTCCAGGCCCAGCTGTTTCTCACTGAGGGCACAGAGACAGACAGCAAAGTCTGCTTCCACGTTCTAAACTGCGGCAGTCATCTGCACACGACCAGCTTGATAGCTTTGGTGTTAAAAAGCTGTTTTGTGACAAAAGCATGTGGTCTGGTTGCGGTTCAGCCAGAAAGACAAGGGCTCACCTCCCATAAGCTACAGTGAGGCTCCTCACGCATTTTTCTGAACCTGCCCACATATCCATAAATCGCCGCCAAACGTCTATTCCTCTTTTTCTGCACATCCTTGTCCACGGCTGCTTGCTGCCCCCTCCTCAGACTGTGAGCTCCCCAAGGGCAGGACCTTGTCTTTTGCCTCTTCCCGTATCCCCAGTGCTTAGCACAGTGCCTGGCACACAATAAAAGCTCAGGAAGTGTTTACTGACTGAATAAACCTGGGGTATATAGGCAAGGACATTCACAACATATACAAAGTAAATACAAAGTAATTGTGAAGGTGAGTAGAAAATACAAGGTGGTAAGATTCTGATCCTAACCCATGTATGAGAGGAAAGCCGGAAAGGCTGCTATGCCTTCTACTGAGAAGGATGGTTTTTCATCAAGAAGCAATCAATCTGGCAGGATGCTGTATTCTCTACACCTTTAAGCTGACTGTTTGACACCTAAAATGCCTTCTGCTCATAACACCTGCCGAAGCCTGCCAATGCCCTTCTAATGATGTAAAAGAGGATATGCTCTTGAGGCACGCACATGTGCGCACACACATGTGTGCATAGACACGTTCAAGGGTTCTTCACCTATTTGTGCCACAGATGCCTTTGGGAGGCCAGGGAAGCCTAGGGACCCTTTCTTAGAGTGATGAAGGAAATGCTAAGTTTCCATTGGGAGGTAATGAAAACAAGGCTGTAATTTTTTTTCCATCCAAGTTCATGGACCCCTAAAATCTATCCTTCAGCATCTCCCATGAATCCCAGACTAAGAACAGCCTCTGCCCTGATAGAATTTAAGCTCCCAAAGAGAAGGGGGCCCCAGCCACCAGCAACTTTGAATTTTCTGCCTCAGATATGGGTAAAAAAAGAGAGTAAACCAACTCAGAGCCTGAGGCTAAATGTACTTTTTTTGGGTCTGAAGAATAATGGATGTGGAGTCTGAGGACCTGAGTTCAAATCCTGACCCTGCTACTCACTGGACCTCAATTTCTCATCTGTAAAACTGAAGGGGTAGGGTGGATATGATGGCCTCAGAGACCCCTCCCAGCTCTAATCTATGAGCCTATGACTACCTCATTTCTGTGTTTCTGTCTCCAGTACCCGGTACAGAGCTGAGCACACAACTACTTAATAAACGCCTGCTGACTGATACATGGAGCTCGTTCACAAAAATGAGGCCTACGGGTTAATACTTATTGAAATTCTTCATCATCTCTTCTGTAGCAATGATATCCATACCACTCCCTGCAATCATTCGAAATTTTTCACTCTCTGACATCCTGAAGTGATCCCTCACAATTCCTTCTCACATTTTATTAATGACAACCTGTTAGAATCACACATTTGTCAGGTCTGCCATGGAAAGGTTCATCTTCAAAAAGAGGCCAGAAAGGACTTAAAAACAACCATTAAAAATAACTGACGGTTTTACAACAGACTTTTATATGGTTTTTCAGTGGACTCTGGTAAGTAATGTCAATAAACAATTATACAAACACACTGGAAAGTCATTTTGTACTTAAACAAGAAATATCTGGATAACTGGAGTGGTTGGAAGTCTTTATCAAAAGATGAAGGCTTCCTAACAACTATTCTTGAAATCATGGCAAGAGAAAAGTTTGAAAATAGCAGAGAATCCCACGCAATTCAATGTGACAAATAATAGATAGTACTGTAGTTACCAAACCACTTATAATGAACTTTAAACTTGCCGAACTTAGAATTTTTTAATAGAAAACTAAGGGGAAAATGTAGTACAAATAACCTAAAAAATTTCTACTGATTTCCCAAATCACTAAAAATATTAACAGAAAAAATATCGGGGGGAAAAAAAGACAGAGGCTCCAGGAATTTGAAAAAAAAAAAAAAACTTCCAGAGGGAAAAATAGAAAATCAGACTGCCTTTAAGATAAGATTTTTTTCCTAAATTAAAGACTACAGTATGATGATATCTGGAGCCTGAATTTCACAAAATAGGCTTGTGGACCCTGGAGGCAAAAAATCTCATCATGCAAATTACCTCGAAACTGAAATTCCTTGAGTAGAAGGAAAAGGCTAGGCAGCAATTACAGTAAGACAAAATTATGAGTATCACGCATGCTTTCAGGGAGACAAAGAACTCAGAACATACTATCTGAAGAAGCTTAAGAAAAGCCGACATCAGTGTCAGCAAAAGTCCCCTGGGGCTAAGACAAAGAACCTCTCCATCTTTGGGAAATGACGTCATGGTAAGTGCATTGAGGCCAGGGAAGCCTCGGCCTGTCCGAGTGGTCCATGGGGCCCTATGGCCCACCGCGGCCCAGCCCTTCTGCTCAGGGACACTCCTGAGGAAAAGACCAGAGGGACAAGCAACTGTGAAATACAGACACCAGGGTCAAGAGAAACACGACAAAAGCGAACAACCGAAAAGCCCTCTGCAGGCACGGTTATCCAGGGTCATCATCAGAGACCAAAGGAGGACTCCAAGAGGACAGACAGCCTGGCCTCACAAGGGCTCAGTTATACTGGGGTGACCAGACACTTAGAGAAAGTGGGAGAGAAAAGGAGCACAGCCCATCACCACACCGCCTGTGTGCAGACACAAAGTGTCCATCGGGGAGAGGCCGGGGGGAGCCCACAGCCTGCATGTCTAGACCTCACACCCGCCGAGTTAGTCGCTAACCTGCACAGGGTTTTCTCCTGTTTTCCTCTAACACATAGGATGCTACCCTGTGCCATCCACGAGGATCTCTGTGGAGGATACTCTGTGGAAGTACCTGATCAGACACGTGCGTGGCTTCACTGGCTTCCTCCCGCGCCTGCTGCTCCATCATCTGAAGCTCATATTCAGTTACATCCAGTGACATCAAGCAAACCCTTTCCCCGGTTTCTTGGGGTCTCTGATCCTCCCTTCCGCCTTCAGACCCATCTGGGGTCAGGTGGGCCCTATCGTCCATCCGAGCTCCTCCTCCACATTCAATGAAGTTGCCACCGTTTGCGTGCCGTCCACCATCTCCAGATCTACTTGGCTCCTCCTCAGCTGCAGGGCCATCATCTAATGGGGGGTCCATGACGGGCCCCTCCGAGGTGGGAGCCCCAAGCAGCACAGTCCTCAATGCCCCCAGGTCTTCTGAAAGGCTCTTCAGTAACTCAGTAACTCTAAAGAGCAGGAGGGGGAGATAAATGTCACAGGATTAGCTGCACGGCCACTATCAAGGTTCTGTGCTAACAGTGGGTCCTCAAAGCTCTCCCCATCCCCCTTTTGCTTCCACAAAAACGCAAAGTACCAACTCAAAGACCACAAAGGAGTACCCCAGACTCTTTGCCAAGTTTTCTCATTACCAATGACACCAACAAAGGGTGGATGAAAAATTGGATGTCAGCATGGAGAGGAGGACACTTAGGGTCACAACTGAGGGCAGAGGCTCCTCCCACACAACCTGGGGGTGGAGCTTGATAAAAATGCTAAGTGATTGACAGCTGGCTGGGCCAGCAGAGCTCAGATCTCTAGGAAAATTTGGGATATGCATCCAGGATAGACTCTCTGGTTGTCCAAAGACCAGCACAACTGGGATGGAACTTCGCTTTTCCTAAGAATCCTATCATTTTCATGAATACAGAACCATCTGATTCCAAAGGGGCACTGAGGAGCCAGCTGAGGGTCAGCAAGGCCCCCTTCCTGACGCTCTGGCTGAAGACAGGAGATGTGAAAGGACCTACCCACCTCCACGGCCACCCGAGGCCCCAATCCCATCCCAGGTAGGGCCTCCGCGCCTCCTCCAGGCTGTCCAGAGTGACTGTGATGCTGCCCCTCATGCTTCCACCCCCCCAAATCCCTGTTCTCCTTGAAGGCTGCTTGGAGCACCTTGGGCAGGGAGTGTCAGCTGGTCTCTCACAAATACCCCTCAAAGCACAGTTTTTTTATTTGTGTATATCTAGACATGCAAATTCCCCCACGGGGATACAAGCAACTGGAGCAGAGAGATGATTACATTCTTGCCTCTGTATCCCCAGTACCAAGCGTACCATAGGTGCCTGATAAATGCTCAACGATGCAATGATGCTAACAAATGAGCAGCCCTTTGTCCCCACACTAAGAGACACTGCGTCACGAGGTCTGCTTTTGGCTGATCATCTCCACCCTGACTGTCAAATGTCAGCTGGTGAGTCTCGGGGTAGAACACCTCCCCCCCACTTTAAACTGGCTGCTTTAAAACTTTGTGAGACAGGAAACCAGATCCCCAAGTACGTAAGAATGGTGTCTACAATGAGAGGGACTAGGCTCTCAGGACAATTTCCTCATCCACCTTCCTCTCAGGTTGACGGCCATGCTCCATCCACAGGAGATCACTGCAGGTAAAGAGCAGGACTCAGGTTCATTAAAGAACAACAGAATATAAGCACTCTGACTGCATCTTCTTTCATTCTTCAGCAGAAATGAATCTGCTATGTTCTTTTCTCACACTGTCCCCAAAGATGCCACCCACAAGCATTAATCTACTCTGCATTCAGGGATTCTAACAGGCAGAGGAGACAGCAAAGAAGAACATCTGAGCTGCAGGGACAGACACTCCACACTATGGCGGGAGATGGCAGGACAGGCATCCCACACTATGGCGGGAACAGGTACCCCACACTATGGTGGGAGATGGCGGGACAGGTACCCTAAAGGCGGGAGATGGTGGGACAGGCATCCCACACTATGGCGGGAACAGGTACCCCACACAAAGGCGGGAGATGGCGGGACAGGCATCCCACACTATGGCGGGAACAGGTACCCCACACTATGGCGGGAGATGGCGGGACAGACACCCCACACAAAGGCGGGAGATGGTGGGACAGGCACCCCACACAAAGGCGGGAGATGGTGGGACAGGCACCCTAAAGGCGGGAGATGGTGGGACAGGCATACCACACTATGGCGGGAACAGGTACCCCACACAAAGGAGGGAGATGGCGGGACAGGCACCCCACACAAAGGCGGGAGATGGCGGGAGATGGCGGGACAGGCACCCCACAGAAAGGTGGGAGATGGAACAACACACAGAAAAAAAGACCACAAAGCATGTGAAGGGGTGTGATAAGGGCTGGAGATAGGGAGGAGGGGTCTGTTGTGAAGGACTTTAAAGACAGGAGTTTCTATTTGATCCCAGAGGAATAGGAGACCACTGGAATGTCTGATTAGGGACTTAACAGAGCTGAGCTTAAGGAAAATCTTTTTGGTGACTGCAGGGGACAGAGTGGAGCGGGGAGAAACTCCAGACAGGGACCCCCAAAGAAGGAGCTATGGCCTAGATGAGGGTCCACACCGGCACCACGACTCCCTGTGCAGAAAGAGGGATCTCTCCACGAGAGGCCCGAGACGTCCCCGGGGCAGATAGGGGAGCTGCCTGGGTGAATGTGATGAGAAGAGGCAAGACGATGCGGGGACGATGGGGGAGTCTGAGAAGGAAGAGAGAGAGTTCATTCTGCAGCGTGATGAATTTAAGACGTGAGTGCTGCACAGGGCCCATGCTTCTAAGTAATAACACTTGGCCTTTCTATGGTGCACTGAAGTTTGCAGAGTGGAAATGTTTTGCATGACTGCATAGATATAATCTATATCAAATTGCTTGCCTTCTCAAGGAGGGGGAAGGGGAGGAAGAAGGGAGAGAATATGGAACTCAAAAAAAATCTTTTAAAAATTGTGTTTACATATAATTGAGGAAAAAAATAAAAGAAAAAGTGCATTTTCTCTTTAAAAAAAAAGCCTACAAAGAGCTTTTCAAATATCTCATTTTACCCTCACAACGACCCTAACAGCAGATGCTATTATGATGCCCAATTTACAGAGGAGGAAACTGAGGCAGACAGAAGTGAGGTGATTTGTCACCCAGTTAGTATGTGTATGAGACTGGATTTGAACTCATGTCTTCTGGTCCAGGTCCAGTGCCACTTGCTGCCAGTAGTAACCACAATTAAATAATGAAACCAGATGCCAAGAGGGTACTTATTCTAGGACAGAAGACATGACTCCTTGACACGCTTTCCCAGCACCCCCAAGGGCCCGTCCCTAGAAACTGTTCTGTTTCTTTGCTCCATAGAAATCCTACAGAACACAGCAGCCTTCTTCACTCTCTCTGATCAGAGACACACCCAAGGAGATGACAATCTCTCATTTCCTCACCAATCAGAGCGTGGTAGGCAAACTCTCTGGCAGATTACCTTTCCTTCCAAACACCCTTGGAAAAAGACCATCTCCCCATGTCCACAGCACACACCCCCGACACAAAGAAGAAGACAGACCGGCAAGAAAGGACCTGCCTCTGTGGCTCGCCACAGGGTCTCCAAGGATGGGAAAGGTGCTTGGTCAGATCCATCATCTCTTCAGAGAGGGACAGCAACTGCTTCTTCACCTCCTCAGGACATTGGTCCACCTCTGGAAAGATCAGGGTTATGGTCATCAGCCACGTGGTCAACACTAATGCTGCCCAACACTGGGGTCTTTGCACTAACCCAAGCCACACGCATGCCCTCCTCCCCATCCCATTCCACAGCAGGGATGTTAAAGATGGCAGCCCACGATGAGTGGAATGCACATGAGTCAGAAGCAAGAAAGAAAAGCTCACTTCACTAGCCAAGAACGCACATTCTCTTTCTACAGAGCTCCTCATGTACAGTTTTGGGGTGCACCTCTCACTTCCTGTAATTTAATTTGCTCTTAAAATATGCTTTAGATGATCTGATTATCTTTTGTAAAGTTGACCGGGATTACAAACTAATCTATAAAAATGCTAAGACCATGACAGTTTAAGAGGCGCCCAGTTGTAAGGCAATCTCATCCAAGACGAAGGAATTGTTAATGTGCTCAGAGAGGTCACAGCATGTGCTCCTAGAATAAAAAATGAAGACCCCCAAGACCCAAGTCACAACAAAAGTCAGCAGAGTCCCCCAACACGGCCACTTCAGCAAATCTCTGAGATGCCCTTACTGCATCCAGGTCAATGTGGGGATGGCTGGGGTCTGGGTTGTGGTTTTTGGACAAGATTTGTGATTTCGTGACTCTGGGGAAACCCCCCACCCCGGGCTAAGAAGGACCAGGCCTTCCAACCATGGTAGCCTACTGCTGCAATAAGCCCCCACTCCTTCACACTCTGGGCCACATGGATTAACATAACCAGTGTTTCTGCCCACGAGGTATCATTCAGCTGCCCCGTAACCATTCTCCATCCCTTATGTCTTCACTCCTCCAAGGCCACGGCCACCTTGGGACTCTGTGTGTGGTGACACCAGCCTAGCTACTAGCACCTAGGGGCCGGGGACGCCTTCCTTTCTGTATCTAGCTGCCTAGCACTTCATTCACAGGGAACATAAGCCTGCCTTACTCGAAGGCCAACTTTCTATCAGCCCAGGGACGCAAAGACAAAAGAATACAAAACCACAAATCCTCTCAATTTATCTCAAATTTCAAACTAAATAAAGACATTGATTGGTTAATGAGAGCTTCAGGTCGTTAGCTCACCTAGCTTGCTTCATTATTCATGGCCTACTTTCTTAAGAGGTTTTTACAAGTTAGAAAATGATTCTAAATAAGCATTCATTGTCTAAATTTTACATACAGCCTTCAAAATAAAGGAAAAATATCACTAAAACAAGGAAGAAAAGTTGCAAAAACGACACTCAAAAGTTAATCAAAGTAAAGTAGTTTCCCACACAAAACAGACAAAAAAGGTAAATTCTAATTGAGACTATTAACACGGACAGCCCGCACTGCCCAGTCCTGGACCAGCCGATGCCCTGATTCACTGTCTGTGAGCACAGAACCGAGGCTGAGGAGGGGGTACTGGGGACAGCATGCATCCCCTGGCAGTTTCTGGTGCTCCAGGCATCCACTCCCTCTTTCCTGTCTCTGGTTTGTCATACCAGACCACAAAACCGCTGGGCCCAGCATAACGGGACTTACTTCATCCACAGATGAAGAACGCTGAGCGGTCTACACAGTCCCACTGTCTTCATGCAGGAAAAGACAGAATACAGTCCCTAAAGCAAAGACTTCTTAAGCACAACCAAGAGGCGGCTGTTAGCACTGGGACACAGGACATGGTTCTCTGAGGCACATCATGGCACGCTGAAGACCCTGGGCTCAGGAACGCCAGGCCATGGCAACATCAACTCTGCTGAACACTCCTACCCAACAGACCTGGCAAAGAAAGGACTTGGGGGGCAGCTAGGTGGTGCAGTGGAGAGAGCACCAGCCCTGAAGTCAGGAGGACCGGAGTTCAAATCCGGCCTCAGGCCAAACACTTGACACTTACTAGCTGTGTGACCCTGGGCAAGTCACTTAACCCCAATTGCTTAAAAATAAAAAAAAAAAAGAAGAAGAAGAAAAAAAAAAAGAAAGGACTTGGGGGAGATCAGCATTGGAGCTGCCAGCAATTAGCCACAAAGTGATGAAAGCTTCTGGCTGACACGCTTCTACAAGGGGAAAGGAATAAGCATTTACTGAGCGCTTACTGCGCTCCAGGCACTGTGCTAAGCACTTTACCAATATCACCTTATGGGTAAGGTACAAGGACATGGCACACACAAGCAGCGAGACAGGAAATGGGCTGCCACATCCATCCAACTCACAGCTCAGCTTGGCCCCGGTGCCATCCCTGCTAGCGAGGCAGAAACGTCCTCAGTCAGGCGGCCAGTCACGCCAGGCACCTGCTTCGGGGACTCAAGAGCAGGCGGCCAAACCTCTGGGTCTGCTTAACATTTTAGCCATCAGGATTGAGGGGAAAATTCCACGTGGAGCCAATGAGCTGTGCCTGACACACTGCCGGATGGAGCCTAAGCACCTCGCTCTAAGCTGGACAGGTGAAGAACACGCAGCTCCCCTGGAGATCGGCCCTGTCACTGTATCCAAAAGCTTGGCTGGCCTTTTTGACCGTGAACGGCCCGGCTCCTTCTCCATCGGGACCTAAGCTGCTCAGGGGCAGGGGCCGTGCCATCCGAGGCCTCTGTGTCCCCGGGGCCCAGGACAGAGCAGGTGTTCTGATCGGGGGGACAGCAGCACCCCCTACCGAGCTCTCTGCCGGTGCCTGGTACCCGTGGGACGAGCCGAGATACAAATGCCAGACAGGACACGTCAGTGTCGAGTTTCAGAACACCGCCCACTGTGGCCCACGGAGCTCACAAGACAACTCACCAGTTTTTGTCAGCAGCGTCTGCTCAGCTCCACTCAAGGTTTCCAATTTTTGGTAAACTATGAGACTAGCCTACAACAATAAAGAAAACAGTACAGAGATCATCAACAAGGAATCCTTTTTACGTCAGTCTGCCCCGTCCTGGGGAACGAACACTCAAGAGTCCAGTCTGGGGCACAGGCTCAGATCTGAATCCTGCCCAGTGTCAGCAGCGCGACATTCCACGTCCTGGCCACACTTCTCGCAGTGGCCATGCCAAACCCCTTGCACTCACACCATGGGCCTACTTCCCTCCCAGTCCACCAAGCACTTCTCTCCAAGGACCAACGAAGACCTGGCGTTTCCCAAAAAGCACACACGGGAAAAGGAGCAACCCATTTCCCTGCTCAAGATGAAGCTTGCCCCAGGTGCCTACCGGAGGGGATTCCACTCCTGAGACTGATGCCCACTAGGTAAGCAAAGTGAATTTAACATAAAGAAAGAGATGAACCTTAGAAAATAAAACCAAAGTCCCAGTTCTGTGATCCCAACACAGGCCCACAAATCTCCCTGGCCGCGGACAGAGACAGGGACTGAACCCCCAGGTGAGGAAGGCCCCAGGTAAGTGAAGGGGCTGGCCAAGGTGACCCAGGTGGCTACAGGTGGTTCAGAGGCAGATCTTACAGCCATGCCCTCTTAGCTTCAAAGGCAGCTCTCTGCCCTCTGCTCTACCACACTAGACTCCCAGCCAGACATGGCACCCCAGCATTCTTAGAGGCTATGCCACAGCGGGGGTTCAGCCATACTCTACCCAAAGCCTGCCAAGCTCAGCAGCCAGACCAGCCACCAAGACAAGATCTGAGAGCATGGAGAGAGGCCAGCCACCCGGTGAGCCCCTCACCGCTCATGCGGCTACAAAGACGGCGTCTCCCCTCACATTTCTTCCAGAGCGTGTGTAGCAGGTGGCCAGAAAGTCCAGCTGACAAGAAAAGCAGGCCCACAGAGCCCAGGAGAGCACCCGGATCTGCAGAGTTATGGTGGCACGAGGGAGAGGCATGACAACACTGGGGGGAGGGAAAGAGAGCCCTGCGGTGACGTGGGTGAGAGGCTACTAGTGTCCCTTCCACTACGTGGGCCCACTCTCCCGCCTCCCACCACGCATGCCACGCTGGTTTGGTACAAATCTTTGCTTTGGAGCTGCCGGGGTCAGCCGGCTGACCGTGACAGGGGAAGACGCTGGCGAGAGGTCCTGAGCTCCAGAAAAGAGCGTGGCTGCAGAAGGCCAGCCTGGGAGGAGGACAGACGTGTTCTCAGAGAAAGCTCGAGGGACAGCAGCCCCAGACTACAGCTCCAACTGGGCCTTCCTCTGACTTCAGGACAACAACAATCGCTGCAGGTCAGTCATCTGTGAATGGGCACTGCTTGGATAATCGACAGAATAAATGCCTTTGGCGGCCCTTTCCACCCTAAGCTAGGCTGAACCTGCGACCAGCGAGAATTCCAAGCCGACGCAACAGACCCCGGCCCCTCGGTACGTACGTAGGCGTCAATGGTGGCGTACTGCTTCTGGTCCTCAGTGAGTGGGAAGTCGTCCCAGAGACTGCAGCGGATGGACTGCTCCTTCAGAAGCCGCTTACCAAAGAGGTGCTTCACCAGGCCGTCCAAACTCCACGTCTCTTTACACCTGAGCTAAGGGCCACAGAACAGGACCACAGACCAGTACTTATGGACATGGTCCAGGGGAGGACCAGACCCGCCTGCGGACTGAGCCTCCGAGAGGCAATTCAGAGCCTGGCCCGAGGCACAGGAGCCGAGGGGGCGCCAGCTCCCAGCTCGGCCTTTTACGGGGCGGGGGTGGGGGGCATGGAGGCCCGGAGAGACGGATGGGATGAGAGCCAGGACTCAGAACCAGGACTCCAAATGCAGGGCTGGGTCACCTGGTCAGTCTAGTTCTAATTCTGGAATTTCCCCAAGGCACTAAAAACTTTTTCATGACAATGAGGTAGAAATGTTCATAAGCATTTCATTTTCTCCAATAAACTATTTGGTGGAGTATGAGGGAGGGGAAGGCCAGCCCCGCAGGCCCGTGTCCTTACACCTAATACCTACAGACACTGTGGGGCTTGCAGTACGCGTCCTGAAATGACCAATGATAAAAGTGGGCAGGACACACAGGAACAAGGGAAAGAAGAAGTGAACCCTTCCCACCCCCACTGCCCCTCCCCCTACACAACCCATAGGAATTCTTTTTGTAAACCACTCGATCAGTCCAGGTCTCGCAAAAGGAAGGAAGTGAGAAAGGAGGAGGCTGGGTGGAGTGAGCTGCCATGACAGCAGGTACTGACGACAGGCTTCCACAAGGGGTGTCTAAGTCCTGGCCCCTTCTCTGGTTCCCACCGAGGAGAAGCAGCAAACCCAAGCGTGTCTCTACCTTCTCATTCGCCACAGTGGCCAGCTCCACGAAGCCCTTCAGGTGGACGTCAAAGTCTCGGAGCAGTTTCCACTGGTCCGCCATTCCCACACCAGCCTTTTTAACAGCTTCATTCTCCAGTAACATCTTTAATCCCTGAGGAAAAACTGAAATGGCCTCTGTGGTTAGTTGCCAGGCCCTCTGGGACCCAAGAACTGTCTGTGCACCGTGCCCCCTCTCTGCGTCCTGCTCGCCCACCCGTCATCTCCCCCAGCACTCTCAGGGCAGTCACCTTGCGAGACCGCTCCTCTTCCTGCGAGGCCCAGACCATGGGTAACCATCCATGTAACAAGCATTTATTAAGCACCTACTACCAGCCAGGCACCGTGCTAGGCCCTCAAGGAGCTTACATTCAATGGGCAAAAATCACATATCCATGAGGAGACCCAAAACAGACCCCGAGGAATTCCAGGTCTTCTAGCAAGGGGACAGAAGGAAAGGCCTCCTGCAGGCAATGATGCCAGGTGGAGCCCTGAAGGACACTGAGGATTCTCAGAGGCAAGAGGCCAATATTCCAGCCCTCGCGGACCCCTGGACCCCTAACATATAGACTTGTCCGATGGACTGTGTGTGGGGTACGGGGTCGGGGATGGGGGTGAAGTAACACAACGCTACATCACTCAAGTGTGTAAAGTACAGCAGAAGAACGGTACCAACCTGACATCGAAGCCACGTGAAATAAATAGCATTTGCTCTCAGATACACATAACTGAACGAGGGCGACCCTGCCTGACCTGCCCTTCCAGAAGGATGGAGGCCATTCAATGTCAAATCCAACCACTGCACCATCAGACAAGCTCACTCTGAAGGGGGAAAAAAAATAAGCCACACGATTAACCCGACATCTTCAATTCTGCAGCACCGTGGAAAGCAGAGCTTTTCGAGTCAACGTTCTCAGGTCAGAGACGTGGTCAGGTAACGTGGTGCACACATTACCTCTGAGGATGCACAAACCCGGTCTAGAAGGTACGACGTGGAACCCAACAGCAGGTCCCGTTGTCCTGGCAAGGCCAGGCCTCCTGACAAACTAGCCGGGCCACACGCTAACAGATTACACCTACCCTACAAAGGCCTCCACGCAAGTGAAGGCAGAATGATGCCTCCGTCTCCTCTCAGCACCCGCTGCCCCTCTCCCACCAACACAGCCCTCCAGTGTTCTGTGTTTTGGAGCGGGGTACCGGGTCCGAGGCAGCATGGGAGGGGAGAGGAGGCCACTCATGGAGTGAGAAAGACCAGGGTACGAATCTGGCCTTGGAGACTTCCTAGTGGTGTGATCCCAGGCAAGGTATGTTACTGGTTCCTGCTCTGGGTCTCAGTTTCCTCACCCAGAAAGTGACTCCAAGGTCCCTTCCAACTCTCAATCTATGACTGATCTGAGGAGCTTGCAAGGGGGTAAAAACAGCAAGACTCATTTATTAACTCAACACAAAACAGGGGTTTTGTAGATACGAGAAGACCGGAGAGAGACTGGGTGAAATCAGGGAGGCTAGGATTTGAGCCCCGCCTCTGCCACAGATTGGATAACAGGGGGACCACCGACAAGCCACACGGCCTCTTGGACCCAGGCAACCATCTAAGCCCAGAAGAGGCAAAGGAGACATTCCCTGCACTGATAAAGTCAAAGGAACAGACCAAACACGCACAGGCCCCCAGGGCCTGTTACCTGACTGGGGTGTCCTGCCCCCAAGGTGGGTCAGTAACGCTTGGCCACTCCCCCCACCCACCGCAACCCCTCCCCCTTGCAAGGGCTCCTGAATCCTGCCTGAACCCCTTCCCTGGGACTGCTTGGTTAACAACCTGCCGCGACGCAGTTTGGAGACTGAATTTACTGAACAGTTTTAGAATTGTTGGTTTCCAATGAAAACACCTCTAACCAAGCTTTCTAAAGCAACTGAAGTCTCTGGGCTTAAAGGCCTGGTTTTGGTCTGGCCTCGCGAGTTCCTTAGTGCGGGACAGAGCCTTCCTCAGGTCAGAACTGGCCCCCCCGCCACCACCCACAACTCCCTCCCACTGCAGCACACCGACTGTTCTTCCTGAACAGGATTCATTGGAAATAGGTTGATAAATAGTGGTAAATAAAGGGCTAACCCTAAATACAAAACAATGACCCAACGTGAAACAGCTTCTGAAGGACAGGTTTCCCAATCTCCTTCTCGGATTCTGGCTATGGGAAGGCTATGCGATAGATTTTTTTCATTCTTAGGGGCAGCTAGGTGGCGCAGTGGATAGAACACTAGCCCTGAAGTCAGGAGGACCTGAGTTCAAATTCGGCCTCAGACCAAACACTTGACACTTACTAGCTGTGTGACCCTGGGCAAGTCACTTAACCCCAACTACCTAAGGGAGAAATAAAAAAAGATTTTTTCATTCTTAAAGTATAATAAAATCTGAAAAAGAGGTTCTCCTTACATTGAAGGAGAAGAGGAAGAACAAGCAGTGTGGCAAGTGGAGAAAGGGCCGGCCTTGGGGCCAGGATCCTGGATTCCAATCCTCCTCTGCTCCCAAGTAACAAGAAGGGGCTGCCCAGCCTGTGCGTCAGCGAGGCCTCAGGCCCTCGTGGAATTCAGGACGCAGGCAGCTCCCCTCAGAAGCAGGGACACCCCAGTGCCGAGGCACGCGTGACTCTCACCCGATATCTTCTGCCAGGAAGGAACAATCGCTCGCTTCGAAGCTATAAATGATGGAGCCAGGGAATTCCAGCAGGGGAAGGCCACCTTCCAGAACACTCCTCTGAAGAGAAGACCCAAGGGAAACCAAAATCAGAAAAGGAGTTCAAATGACTAGCTTGTGTTTTCTCCGCTGACTTTCTCTAGTGAGCTCTAATTATACAAAGACAATTCAACCAACACGTCCTGAGCACCTCCCAGTGTGCTCGGCTACAAAGGCAAAAAAACAAAAAAGGTCCTGCCCTCAAGGTCGGCTATGCCAGTGAGAGAAAGGAAGAGGGGGAAGGGAGGGGGGGAGAAAGGGGGGGGGAGAAGGGAGAGGGGGAGGAGGGAGAGAGGGAGGGGAAGGAGGAAGGAGGGAGGGGACAAGACGAAAAGAAGGCAGAGAGAAAAGGAGAGAGGGAGCGAGCAAAGGGTGGAGGAGGAAGGAAGAGGAGGGGGAGGAGAGAGATGGGGAGGAGGGACAGAGAAACAGTCCTGAGGGAGAGGGAAGAGAAGGAAAGGACCTTCTACATGCCCCCCTCAGTCCCCTGCATTCTGGATTCCGGCCTCATCATCAAACTCAAACCACTCTGAGGTTCTCCAGGCTCTGTTGAGAGTTCCTCTGGGCAGGCCCTCGAAGCCTCTCCTGGCTGGCCCTCGGGCCTCTGCTCCCCCTCATCCTGGGCTTCAGCCTCCCCTCCAAGGTCCTCTACTCCTCTCCCCATCCACACCACTCTCAGACAGATCCCTCATGAAGTATCATCTCTCTACAGATGACACCAATTTCACATATCAAGGCCTAACTTCTCATCATTAATTAATTGCCTGCTGGATACTTCTTGCTATAGGCCCCACAGGCCTCTCACACTCAGTGAAACAGAACTCATTACGATCGTACCCCCTCCCTGGGACTCTCCTCCAAATCTCCTCCCTGTTTCTGCTCAGGACCCCACCATCCTTCCAGTCACCAAGGGTCCCACCTCACTGTCACCCTGGACACCTTCCGTCTCCTGATCCCAACCCCTCCACAGTCTCTCATGCCCTTCCTTTTCCAGTCCACATGGCCACCATGTACCCGTCCTCCTGGGCCTCCCTGATTCTGGCCTCCCTTCTACCCCATCTATCCCTCACATAACTGCCAAGATAATCTTTGCAAAGCACACATCTGCCCATGTCCTTCAGGAGACCGGTGAATAAATGCTGGCTGCCTAACTGGATCCTGGTTGTCTACAGGATTAAATTAAACCCCAAGGCTGAGCATTTAAGGGTCCCCCAATAGGTTTCTTATCTGTCTTTGCTGCCTTTTTCAGAGTACTCTTCAACACACATTGAGTTCTAGCCAAATGTACCATTAGCCATTCCCCAAACCTGATACCCCATTTCCCATCTCCAGACATTTGTGCAAGCGGTTCCCCAGGCCCAAAATAGGTTTCTTTATTTCTATAGCTCAGAAACCTTGTATTCCTTCAACATGCAGTTCATGCCACTTTACCTGACTCATTAATTATGCCCTCTCCTCTCTCCTCAATTTCCCTTATACTACATTTATCTAGTACATCTCCTCAGGAGAATGTAAGCTCCTGTGTGAATTATCCAACCATTTTAGAAAGTAATTTAGAATTATGCTAAGAGAATGATGTATCCTCCGACCAAGGGAGCCCGGTGCAGGGCACCGACCCGAGGAGCTCAAAGATCAAAATAAAAAGATCTTCTATAAACCCAATTAGCAGAGCGGCAAAGAACCAGAAACAAAGTCAGTGCCCATCCATTAGGGAACAGAAATGGAGTTCACTGTAAGCAACAACAAACACGAGGAGTTCAGAGAAGTAAACAAAGATTTATATGGACTGGTACAAAAAAACCAGGAAAACAACATAAGCAAAGACCACAGTGACATAAATAAAAACATAGGGAAAAAACTCCAATAAACTCTGTGTAATTATCATGACCCTGCCTGGCCCCAAAGAGGGCGGGAGAAAAGGACTCTCCCTCCCCTCCTTGGCAGGGCGAGGACCTCTGGGCATGGAAGGCACTGGTCTATACCACCAGGCTCCGCCAACAGACCGGTGAGCTCTGCTGGAGGGCTGCAAGCTGTTTTCCTCTATCATATTCTTTGTCAGGAGGGATGGCTCAGGTCAGGGGTGGGGGGAACAGGGAGGATAATGTTGAGACAAGAAGATCATATTTAAAGAAAAGATGACAACAATAATGAAAAACAAACAAAGCTTTTTAATCCTGGCCCTCAAAGGCCAGGAGCATTTCACCCTCTTCACACTGCCCAGGCCTGGCACGGTGCCCCCCAACAGGGGACACATGATCAATCTAAGGACTCGTGAGGATTACTCACAAGGATAATTATCGAGAGTACCGACAGTGGAAGAGGGAGAGTTCTTTATAAACTGCTACTCACCAAGTTTTATTTCTCATTCATCACACAAACCATCTCACAATTACAAGTGAACAATGGCTGATGAGAGATAGACGCTTGGACAGACAATCAAACTTAAATTTCTCATGGGCCCAGTTCACACAGGAGCATCAGACAGTCTAAGTTATTAACAACAAAGCTGAAAGCCAATCACAGACGGGTAAACTGAGGAAGAAACTGTCTATGCTGAACACAGCACATTTCACAAGAGAAAACACTAACAGAAAAAAGTCTCTCAACAACCTCACATGAAAAGCATTCTCCAGGAGTAACGAACCTTCCTTTTATCGGCATCACTTCCCTCACGCGGTGCAGACATCCACTCAGGAAGTTTCCGTACCTGGACAGTCCTTGTCACCGTATTTGCATTCATCCTGATAAATCTCTGGTCCTTAAAACAAGAAAAAAACAAAAAACAAAGATTCAGCCAAGATGGGGAAGGAGTTCCGGAGAAAGCTGCAGGAAGTTCAGCTGGAGGAAGTGGGCAATCTTAGCCTATGAGCAGCGGGCGCCCAGGCAGGGCATGTGGGTGAAGGGCAGTTATGGCCTTCCTTCGGCTGGACCCCCAAGGCTGCAGGAAATCCCACCAGAGAAGCCCTGGGCTCAGAGGCACAACCCCTAACGAGGCGTGCTGACGGTGGGATGGACCACTGCAGAGGGCCCAGAGAAGGCGGGACCCCCGAGATCCCTGCGACTCAGAGATTCAGCACGGCTGGAAGGAGAGGTGTGAGACACACCCAGACGTGAAGTTGTCATCTAGCTCTCTAAAGCAGATGCCTGCATTCTGCTCCCCACACCATTAAGATGAGCAGGGGTCTGCAAAGCAACAGGAAAACATCAAACCTCAAAAATGTAACTAAAAATATCCACCTAGACAATGGCCGAGGTGAGCCCCAAGTTCACTTTCAGGCTTAAATCTGTAGGGTTTTTTTTGGTGGGGGGGGGTTTGCTGTCATAGAATAATCTTCAACTCAAGGACAATGACAATGTTGGGCCGGGTAAAGGACACGTCTTCATGTTCTCCAGGAATTAAATATCCTGAATCACTCATTACTTGGCTCCATTAACCTGTTTTCAAAAAAGCTTAGCAAAGTCATGGGTCATCATCCTTCTGCAAAGCCATTCGGAGGCCAGACACTGGATGCTGAACTGCAGGTCAATCACTCAGCTATGCCACTGCTAGGTCTATACCCCAAAGATCAAGGAAAGAGGGAAAAGAGCCACGTGTACAAAACCAGCACAGAACTGGAAACTGAGGGAATGCCCACCAACTGGGGAACGGCTGAACAAGCCGTGATGTCTGAATGTGATGGAATACTATCTTTCTATCAGGACTGATGAAAGGCATGGTTTCAGAGAAACCTGGGAAAACTTATACGAACTGATGCAAAGTGAAGCGAGCAGAACCAGGAGAACCTCATACACAGTAACAGCCAGACTGTAAAGACCTAGTAACTCTGGTCAGCACAGTGATCCACCTCAATTCCAGAGGACTCATGAGGAGACATGCTCTCCACCCACAGGAAGGGTGAGATGGGTCCAGAGGGCAGACAGACTCTTCTAAATGTGGCCGATGAGGGGAATTTGTTTTAATGAACTATACATGTTTGTACCAGGGGTTTTGTTTTTCTTGTCTTCTCAACTGGGAAGAGGGAGAGGAGGAGGGGAGAAAGAAAGAAGACAAATTTGGAACTCAAATAAATCTGAATTTTAAAAAAATTTTCAATGTTTCTTTAAAAAAAACAAACCCACTGCAAGGGGAACCCATCCCATTCCCAAGGCACTCAATTCCACTTCTGGAAAACAGAACCAGTACAATTCCACTCTACTGATTCTGATACAGACAGCGAGACTTTGGATGGAGCCTCAAAACCAAGCTACATGAGGCTCTGTTGAAGAAATCAGGGATGTTTAGCCCAGAAGAGTGACGAGAGAGGACCATGGCTGTCTTTATGTATCAGAAGGGCTGTTACATGGATGATGGGCCTTGGTCTGCTTGGCCCTAGGGATAACCAAAAGCAAGAAAGCAGGGCGGGGGACGTTGCCACGAGGCCAAGGCTTCGTGTCAGGAAGCATAATTAGAGGTATCCAAAAGTGGAACGGGCACCTAGGAATGGAGCATTTGGAGAGCTTTCAACAGAACAAGGAAGACCTTTTATCAGGTGTAGGCTGTAAAGGAGATCTGTCTAAGCATGGGTTGGAGGAGATGGACTGCGGGGGGTCCCTTCCAGCTCAGACGCTGTGCCCATTGCTGTGCTGACAACATGTCCCTGAGGGGCATCCCAAATGCAGAGGGTCCTGTCCTTGAGGATAATCATAGGAGACAAAAAGTCACCTACAAAACAACTCCAAGAGATGCACAGGCACTAAGCAACACAATGCCCAAACATGATTGAAGAGGATTCCTGAGGAAACCGGTCACTCACACCTCCTGGCAGAGAGGGGATGGCCTCGTGGGACAGACTGAGCCAATATATTTTTAGTCTTCGCCAATGCAGAATTTTTTGTCTGACTATGCATGTTTGATGGAAAGGTTTTGCATTTCTTTCCTTTTCAATTCTTTCTAACCCTGCCGGTAGGTAGGAGAGAAAATAAGTTTTTGTCAACTGAAAAAACTAACTTAAAAACAAAATCCCCCAAGTCCCATCACATTTCATTTCCTGACTTCCCATTCCACTATGTACAAGGGCACCAGAAGTAACCAAGGATGGAATCCTCCCACTGGGAAGGAACCAATCCCTAGCTTCCTTTACCATCCATCATTCCTGCCAACCCTGCTGGCCCCTGGTGGAAGCCACCCCAAGGGAAGGGCACAGCTCTTCCAGTGTCCCTGGATCCAGAGAGAAAGGGAAGAAGGGTTTCTGACACCATGCAAAATCCCAGGTGTGGACACATCCAGGTGCAGAACACGAGCAGCACGAGGTGAAACGGGAGCCGAGGGGGAGGGTCTGCCTGGCATGAAGCACTGCACATGTTGTTAACCTGCAAATATGTGTACGTACGTACGTACACACACACACACACACACACACACACACACACAGCACAAAAATATAAACAGCCTTTGACAAGTCTCACTTAGAGGAGGGAATAGGGCAAACCTAAGATGTAAACTGGTGACCTCCATTAGGCTTTCAGCCCACAGTATCAACTGCAGAATTAAATGAACCCTATACCCAGTAATGCAGTAAATTGAGGCAACTGTCTGCACAACCCTGCCACTAAATTCATCTTTGCTTAAAATGCCTACAGGATATTTTAGGTCCCCTAAATCCTCCTCTTCCAAGCTCCCCCAGTACTGGCCAGCTCCCCATGGCACCCTCAGCTCCTCACTCACCCCCAGCCCACATAACCAATCCCTCGTCAAGCCTTCCAAGTCTTGTTTTTACTGTCACAACATCGTTGCCATCCACTGGTGTACCATACACACGTACGTACACACACACACACACACACACACACTCACACACCACTCCAGTCCACCTCTCAACATCTCATTTGAATGATAGGTCACCTTCCTGATCAAGTAAGTCCCCAACTCAGTAGATGCCAACATTCTCTGTTTCCTCTTGACTAAAACAGCAAGCACTTATTAAGAACTTACTACTCGTAAGTATTATGTACATGCCAAGCACTGGAAATGACACTGAAACACCCAGAAGCCATCCTGGCCTTTGAGAAGCTTACATTCTCGTGCAGAAAACGGGGGCAGGGCAATGAAGGTCTGGCTCCTGCAGAGAGAGTCCAGCATCAGGAGCAGGGGCCTGGCAAAGAAAAGGGCCTTCCTCCTGGGCTTCTGAAGACTTTCCCCAGCTGGCTCCACCCTCCCTCTCTCCTCCCTTTTCTGCCTTCCCATTCTTCAGTCTAGCCAAAATGGCCCCTGCTTTCTCCCTCACAACACTTTCCTGCTTCCTCTCCCACTTCACGCCTTTGCACTCGTCGTATCCCCCACCTGAAATGCCCTCCCTCATCCCTTCCGGGTTGTGGAAACCCTTACTTCTTCAGCTCCACTCCATTCAAGCATCACCTTCTCCTGCCTTTCCAGAGTGTCCCCACCCCCACGTCCCTCCCAAACCAGTCCTGTGTTTGTTCCGTATGTGCTGAGAGGTATACATGTCAGCTTCATGGGGGCAACAATAACTTCACTTTTTGCCTCTGAATTCCCAGCACCTCCCAAGGGCCGGGAACATCGGTAGGCACTTAATTAATGTTGGCTGGGTACCTGACTGCTTGGATTCTCATGTCTACGTGTTCCCAGGCACTCGGCCTAGAATTCAAGTAGTTCACAAGGTCCAGAATATTCAAGCCACTTTTTCAATTCACTGGTACAAAGCCTCCAGGTTTCAAATTAGACAGGCCAGAGTAAAATCACGTTGTGCATAAAATTGTTTTTTAAAATATAGTTACAGCAATGCATTCAGGAGATATTCCAGGCAGCTCTGAGACCCTCTGAATTCTAATCAGTTAGGTTCCACCTGAAGCCTTCCACTAAAAAGAAACCCACCTAGACCCAAGGCAGGCCCTCCCACACCTGGACAGCTCCAATCACCAGGAAGCTCCTCCTTACGCTGAACTATGCCTTTCTGCAGTGTCCAGCCAGAGCCCTAGGTCTGTCCGATGGACTCAGCCCTTTGAATAATCAAAGACAGCTCTAATCCAAGCTCAGCAGCCCTACTTCCTGTGACCAGCCCTCCTGCTGTACAGTCCATACCCTCCTATCCTCCCACAGTTATCGATGGCCTTCTCCAAATGGGACAGACCAGAACTGACCCCAACACTCCAGGTGCGCTCTGGGCACCTGGCACCGCCCCCCTTCCACGGGACATCATTAAGGAGGATGCTTTTAACGTGCCACAGAACTAATGAGCTGATTCAGGGCTGCTCCATCAGGATTCCTGCATCTGGTTTAAAGTCCTGCCTACCTAGGCTTCCTTACTCTGGTCCTCGTGAAGTTGATTTCTGAGCCCAAGCATTGTTGTTCAGTTGTGTCCGATTCTCCACAATCCTGTGGACTATAATGTCCATGGGGTGGTTTGCCATTTCCTTCTCCAGTGGATCAAGGCAAACAGAGGTTAAGTAACTTGCCCAGGATCACACAGCTAGTAAATATCTGAGGCCACATCTGAACTCGGGTCTTCCTGACTCCAGGCTCAGTGCTCTATCCATCGAGTCACCTAGCTGTCTTTTATACCCAATTAAATAAGACTTTTAAAATAATTCTCATTAAAGGAATGGTCAGGGGGAGAGATGGGGAGAAAATCTGAAACTCAAAATCTTGTGGAAGTGAATGTTGAAAACTAAAAATTAATTAATTAAAAATTTAAAAAAGGAATAGTCAATGTTAGAAGGGATGTGAAACGACAAGTCTTCCAGTAGATTATTAGTGGAGCT